CCCGGCTCTGTGGGCTTGACAGGTAGGCGCTTCCTGCCGGGTGTATCTCTGTCTCTGACAGGCCAGGTCCTGTGTGCGGGAGCCCCTGCTCCCTCCTGCCCCGCCGCCCCGCTGCTCTGCTGCCCCGCTGCCTTCATTCTCACGCAGACTTGGGAGCCCCTCGCAGTCCCTGGCCCGGGTCGCCCCTGCAGACGCCAGCAGACACTGCTTCTAGGGGGGTGGAGTCTGATGGGGCCTTGAGCCCCTCTCCAGCCAAGTCCTGAGGTTGTGAGTGTAGAATGACCTGGCTACCAGGGCTGTGCTGAGCCACCTCTGGAGCCAGAGCGACGGACAGGGTCTCCCTGAACCGAGAAGAGGGGAGAAGGGGTCCCCAAAGGAGAATCTAGGTGTCATTGGCAGCAAGTTGAGATGCAAGGGGAGTGGGCAGCATCGCGCCTGCATACGCTCACCCGTTAGATGTGTCTGCTCTGGGCATCGTTTACACGTGGACTTTTTTAATCTCAGAGTAACCCAATAAAATCTGTACAAGCAGGCATGATTAGTCTGACTGTTTTATAGCTAAGGAAACTAGGTTAGAGAGACGTCAGATCCCACGGTCCTCCTAAAGTGGCACAGCTGAATCTCCAGCCTGAGGTTGTAGCTCGGGCCTCGCATCCTCTGCAGGAAGTCGTCCGTGTCGGACTGCTGTAGTTAGCCGTGCCTGTAATGAATTCGGGAGGAGCTGATCGGAGCCGCTGTCTGCGGGGGCCTGCAGGTGGTTCCTGTGCGGCAACTGCTGGTTGTGAATATGGCTGCTGCAGAGTGAGACCACCTCCTGGGTCTCTGCGCACGGCCCCAGCACACTCACGGAGGGATAGACAGGCTGCTGGGGGCCAGCGACACAGCATGGAGGAACGCACTTCCGCTAGGACGTCCCTGCCCCCTGGCCAAGAGCGGTCAGTGTACCTAAGTATAAATATGCATATCTTCATGGACTTGGATCCCTGATGGGAGATACACAAGACAGACTTGCCCCCAGAGAAATGAGCTGAGTCTCGCTTCTCCTGGCCAGCAGGCACGCCTGCATGACCCGGCCCGGGAGGAGGGCCTGCGGCAGGGGGACGGCCAGTGTCTGCCGGCTTGCTGCTGCGAGCATCGCCACGCGTGTCCTCGGTTGTGTCCCGAGGCTCTGCCTGCGCGTGCAGGTTGGGGTTCAGGGTGTTTGTCATGAACGCTATCCTCGTATTGCCCAGGAGCCCTGTCCAGGTGTGGCCGTTTCTGGTCCCACCAGCAGTGGGTTGAGTGACTGCTGCACCATGCGGCACGAGTTGTTACAAACAGGAGCTAGGCATGTGTTTGTCAAGTTCATATTCCTCGGATGACTCCTGGGGATTATCCATTAAAAAGTGGCTTTTAATTATGTCAAGAGCGCCCGCGCTGGCGCCTGTGTTAAACACACCACAGGCCTGCTCCTGTTATGCCCCGTGACTTGAGCAATGTGAGCAGTCGGCTGGCGCCTTGTCCTCCAGGGGCAGCTGCCAGTGACCGGGTGTCAACCTGAGGGACGCTTAAAGGGATCTTTTGGGGAATTTTGGCCCCGGGGCCTGTTTAACACCAAGAATCAGCTCAATTAATATTGTAACTGAGGCCAAAGGTCACGCCAAGAGGATGGCTGCCTCGTGTGACAGAAGTCCAGCCCAGGGTGACCTTGGTCATCTTCACGGGCATTGCTCTGTCGCTAGGGAGAAAAGGAGAAGGCTGAGGGCGTCAGGACCGTTCCCTTGTGCAGACACGCCCCTCAGAGGTGGCGTTGTCAGCCCGTCTGCCTTGCACTCGCTCACCGCCTGCAGATTCTTGAGTGTCCAAGCCCCCTCGAGTCGCCTGGTCAGCTGCCCAACCGCAGCCCTGCCAGCAGCTGAGAGGGCAGAGGGGCAGCGTGGTGTCATCCGGTGCTTGTGGAGGGCAGTGCCAGGTGCCTGCTTCGTGTCATTGCATCACCTTGGTAACAGCCATCGTGTCAGAGTTGGGCTCAGGTGCAGAGGTTGATTCGTTGCCAAAGCGAGGATGACCCAGACTCCCGGCCCCACCCTGCCCAGGCGGCCTTGGGGCCCTGCCTTGGGCTCTTGCCTGCCACCACTCTGGGCTTCAAGCCCAGCTGTGGAGAGATGAGCCGTGGCCACGGAGGCATGGAGGGCTAGGAGAGGTGATGGCCCAGCTTGGCAGCCTGCTCCTCGCTCGCCTGGGAGTGGGCAGCAAGCATCCAGGGACCCTGGCTTTAGCTACTCACGAGTCTGAGGGATTTACAGCTTCTCTACATCATGCCTAGTGTCACAGCCCAGATCAACACTCCACTCCAATTTCCAAGCTTCCCCGGCAGAGGAGGAAGGGTGGTGGTCTAAAACCCATTCCCAGGGCTCCAGGGAATATGTAGTTTCCAATTAATGCCACTAGGGGGCCTGTAACGTCACAGTGCTGTCCGCAGCCGTCCAGGAAGGAGAGTAAATGGGCACTGGGGACCCTGTGACCTCCTGGCAGCCTGGCTGTTTCTTGGGCTCCAACATTGAGGTCCAGCTTGATCCTCTCCATGGGTCAAGCTTTTACCTTTACCTGTCCCAGGCTGCGGGCTGCTGTTGCCTCCCTGGGGCCAGGAAGGGGGGTTCCTCAGAGCCAAGCCTTCCGTGGGCATGTGTGCTGGGCAATTCTGCTGTTCAACCCCACAGCCAAGAGTGGGCACCTGGGGACGCCTGGCAGGTGCATTGTGGTCCAAGATCCCTTTGGAGTTGGGCTACAGAGTAAAGGAGCTGCTCTGAGGGGTCCTGCTGGCTCTGTCTAGGTGTGGCAGGCAGAGCCCTGAGGCTCGCCGCCTCCCTGCTCCTCGGCCTCCCTCCTCCTGCTGAGGGCACTTTGTTCTTGGCCTCCAGTGCCAGTTGGCCCCCCTGTGCAGCCCATCCCCTCTCCGCCGTAAGCCCCGTGGAAGCCTCGCTTTGTGTCTTGGACACCTGTGAGGAGAGCACCCCCGCCCCTGCCTGCCAAGGTGGCGTGTGTGGGTCAGGGCAGCTCGCTCTGCCTCCTTGAGGCTCCAGGCTCCTGTCGCAGGGCAGCTGGCACTGCGCCTGGCCCCAGGCCTGCTCACCACCACCTCAGGGAGGTTTCCCATGCACCCTTCATTTTAGCACCTCCCCCTTAGTAACAGTCCCCCCTTTGTCCTCAGTGTGTGTGTGTGCGCGCGCGCGCAGACAGGCAGGTACACAGAAGCATGTAGGCGCTGCTTACCCCGCGATGGTGATTGTGATACTTGAACTAGTGATGAAGATGGAGGGAGGGTGGCCGTTGGCTATGCGCGGCCCGTGTCTGCCTGACCCCTGACCCCGGCCCTCTCGGGCATAGGTGCAGGTGTCATTTGACAGAGGTGACATCATGTGTGCAGGGCCATCCGGCTGGCACGTGGGAGAGCTGAGGTCATAGGTCAGAAGAGGGGAGTTCTTAGGGGTCATGAAGAAGTGAGCAAGGCCTGCTGGTGGATTCCAGGAGCCCGCAGGGGCCAGTGTGGTCCAGTGGTTTGCCACTGTAGAGGCTGGGAAGAGGCGAGGCTTGTAGGCCGTGTGGGTTAGGGAATAAGAGAACTTTCCAGGGAGTGCAGTAATGAGGCATCCGGTGGCCTCTTGTGGGCAGGGAAGGGGAAGGAGCCCCGAAGGACCAGCCTGTGTTCCAGTGGCAGGAGTCCCCAAGCTCACTGTGCGCTCCTGGGCCCCGTGTGCAGGCGTCGTGCTGGGTGCTGGGGTCACAGAGACCAGGAGCACCCCTTGCTCGGCATCCCAAGGGTAGTGTTTCCCCACTTGAGACCGTAGAGGAGTTGTCAACATTTTAAGGCACATTTATTATAAGTGTCTCTGGAGTTTAAAGTGTCAGTGCTAGCGAGACTGTTGGTAATCTTACATACCAACATCCTCATTTGACATGGAGTTAAAGGAAGCCAGGGCACCTGCTGATGCTCCGACAGGTAAGTTGATGGCCGAGTATCCTGAGCCCCAGGTCTGTGGTTGGCTTGACCCACTGCATGGCCATCCTGGGGAGGTGCTGCAGTAAACCCCCCTTCTAGGACTGCCTGCCATGCCAAAAAGTGCCCCGTAGTACCAGGCCCTATGTGTACATATGTTGCCAGGCAAGGTTTGACTTAAAATTTGGGCACGCAAGGTTGACCAGTAACTACCAATAAAAATAGGATAATTATAGTAGCATGCTGCTGACAAGCGTTGTTTTCAGATGTATGAGTTGCTTCTGGAATGTTCCTGTTTTTGAACCACAGTTGACTGTGGGAACCTGCAGCTACAGGTGATACTGAAGCTGGGGGGGTGGTCACTGTGTGCAGACAGCCCAGGCCGATCCCTGGGGGAGCCACATGCCCTCAGAGATGCCAGAGCCCTGGCTTTGCCCGGAGCAGGGATGCAGCCTGCTCGTCCTGGGCCTCCCCTGGCACCATCTGTCCTTTCCCTACTGCACCCCCCAGACCAGCTTAGTGGGATGCACAGGCCACTCCCAAGGGCTCTGGGAGCTTCGCCCTCTCTGTTGGCACAGCCGCTCCCACGGCTGGCAGGGCCCGACATCTGCCCCAGCAGCTCCTGAGCTGTCCTCTGCCCTTCATTTTTGCCTCCAAGCCTGTGCCCCGTCCTGAGTGGCTGCAGCCAGCGCCCAGCTCTTGCGCTTTGCTGTCCCTTAGCCGCCCCCGCGCCAGCTCTTGGGGTCGTGTTGGTGGAGTCGCCAGACGGGCAAGGCACACTTGGAACCGCTGGGCTGTCTGCCCCATACAACCTGTGCCCACTGCATTCCAGTGATGACCTCTATCAGTTGTGTTACCCTAAAGGATGCTGGTGACCAGCTCGTCCCTCTGCCCCCAGTCTCACTTGCTGCTGCCCCCTGGCATGACCAGTGGCCATAAGCTGGTGTCCCCGCTGTGTCTCTGTTCTGCCTCCACACTGAATGTGTCCATGAGAAAGCAAACAGACTTTCATCTCTGTCCCTAGATTACGTCTTCCCAGACCTGAGTGAGAAGGCGGGTTCCCTGGAGGATGCCGACCCACCTCGAGAGCTGCCAGGCCTCCCCTCCGCCTTGCCCAAAATGAATCTGGTCGAGCCTCCCTGGGGCATACCTCCTGAAGAGGAGGAAGAAGAGGAGGAGGAGGAGGAGGAGGAGGAGAGGGAGAAGGAGGAGGTAGAAAGACAAGAGGAAGAGGAGGAGGAGGAGCTGCTTCCCGTGAGTGGATCCCCAGAAGAAGCAAAGACCCCTGCCCGTGCCGCTCCTCCCAGCAGCAGCCAGACTCCAGGTGTCCCCCGGCCCGGGCCTGAAGATTCCGGGGACCCGGCCTCGTCCGGTGTGGAGGCGGAGAGCAGCGTGGAGCCCAGCCCACCGCCACCCTCGGTCACGCCCAGCGCAGTGACCGTGGGGCACGAGGACCTCGAGGAGGAGGCCGGGGCCACCATGCTGCCGGCCACCGGGCTCGGGGCGGAGTTTGAGGCTCCCAGGGGAGCCAGTGAGGAGACCACTGTGGGGGCAGCCAGCTTTGCTGGCCAGCCAGGGACAGGGCCGTCCTTGGCTCCTGCCCCTCAGACTGGAGCCCCGTGGGGGTCTGATGCCCCAGAGGAAAATCTCCGTCCGCCTGCAACTCTGGCCTCGTTCCCACTGGCTCCTCCAGATGTGGAACCCACACCTTCTTCTGCCTCAGGGCAAGATCTGAGCCAGCTGCCCCAGGAGGGGCAGGCGGCTGAAGCTGCCTCCAGGATGCCCTGGGACTCGACTCAGGTAAGTTGCAGGCGCAGGCCAGCCGTCCCCAGGGCCCATGTGACCAGGGGCTGGCACCTGTTGCTGGAGGAGCCCAGGGAGCATGCTGGCATGGGTACCTTGTGGGCCAGCACCAGGTGCTCCTTGTCCAACCCCCTTAAACATGGAGGCCTTCAGGGAAGCCTGGGGGATGGGCCAGGTCTCTGCTCCCTTGGTCCTGCTGCCCCCTCAGCCTTCACCATAGTCCCCCCGTTCATCTGTAATACACACCTGTGGGCCAGCAGGAGTGGGGTGGCGGGTGCTTGGTGCTGGGCCTATGTGCTTGCCCCACGGGACACCAGGACCCAGCTGACGGTCAGCGCCTGCACACACTCCCCTCTGCAGCTGCCACTCCCTTCACACGTTCCCTGCTGGGACCCCGGAGACACCAGGGCTGGTGGGTCTGGAGCTAGATCCTTGGTCAGTGCCACGCGGAAACCATCAGCTCCCGAGTCAGCCCAGCAGCCCGTCCCTGGCCTTCCTAGCTGCTGCTTTTCCTTTTGTCTCATCGGACAGGTGATCTGCAAGGACTGGAGCAATCTGGCTGGGAAGAACTACATCATTCTGAACATGACTGAGAACATAGAGTGTGTGAGTGCTGTGCGAGGCTCGGTTGGCGGGGGTGCTGTGCGGGACGGGGTAGGGGACAATCTGCAGCCGGCCGCGTAGAGCAGCGGGCACAGGCTACAGCCACCTGCACAGAGCAGCGGGCACAGGCTGCGGGGACAGGCTGCAGCCACCCGCACAGAGCAGTGGGCACAGGCTGCGGGCACCCGCACAGAGCAGCGGGCTGCTGTCGTATGCAGCACAGCCGGCGTGCCTCCATCACCAGGGCTGAGTAGCTTCCCCCTGTCTGGGTGTCCCCCCGCCCTGCTTGCTCTGGTCTCTGCACTTGTTCATTTACGCACCGTCCTCAGTGTTTGCTTGCTCTGGTCTGGGCCGTGAGTGTGCCACGCGTGGTGTCTGCTGGGCTGCTTCGTCTGGCGCTGTCAGTACTGCTGGGCCGATTCCTTTGCTCCGGGCTGGGGTCCCTTCAAAAAGGGAGCTTGAGTCCTGCCTCTGGGGACCAGGGTGGGGATGAGGACCGGGCGTCTCAGTACTCCAGGTCTGTGTGCACGGAGAACAGTGTGTCTTCCTGACCTCCGCCTGCCCCCGCCATGGCTGTGCCTGGTGACCTCCAGGTTAGGTTAGAAGCTATCTCTTCTACCTTGCTGAGGTGCAGGCCGGCTGTCTGCCAGCTGTGCAGCTGTGGACAGGAGCCAGGGTCCCTTCCAGCTGCTCCCTGCACAGACTCCCCCTCTTCTCCCATGTGGTGTCGGGCCTGCCCTGGGGACCCGGGCAACATGAGCCAGCGCACACCCAACGGCTGCCCAGCCTTGCCCGAGTGGCATAAGGCGCGGTTGTTCATGGTTGCTCAGGTCGTCCCTCTGCCCGTGCTTGTCAGCCCTGCGGCTCTCTGCCTTGGGCTGGTCGCCATTGTGGGTTCAGTGTCTCCATGCGTCCTCTTGTTCAGGGTGTTGGGGGAGGGTGCGAGGATGTACCAAGGCTGTGGTAAGCTCAGCATCGTTATACTCTAGTGCACGGAGCACACTGGCCGCGCTGGGTCCGTTGGAGCCCGTGTGTCTCTTCTGGCTGGTGCTCACAGGCCTTTGGCCAGCCTGAGTGGCCTCTTGGAGCTGGCTGCTGCGCCCTGGGGGCCAGCCCAGCAGCTGTACTGTGTCTCCTCGCCTCCGGCTTCAGCAGTCGCTTCACACCCTGCCAGCTCATGTCCCTGCCTGGGTCGGGGATCCAGCGTCGCTCGGGAGCCTGTAGGCCTTGGAGTGGGAGATGGCTCTTAGACGCCCCATGCAGGCACCGGGGACTCTAGGATTTTCAGTAAGCAGATTGACCGGTCCCATCTGAGGTTGATGTCTCCACTTCAAGCAGTGTGCAGATATTAAAACACTTGTGTTGTCTTTTCCTTTTGTTTTCTGTATTGCTACCACTTCGTGTATGAGATCCACTCAACTGGTCATAAACGCTCTTTCTGGTGGGTTTTTTCTTATAAAATATAGAATGTAAAACCTGCCATGTGACCATTTCTCAGCCCATCTCTCAACTTCTGCACCCTCACAGCTGAAATCTGACACCTGTCACACAGCATCCCCCACCCGACCCCAGGTCCCAGCACCCGGTCCTCCCGCCCCTCACTCCTACCCCCTCCACATCCATCCAGTGCGGTTGGCAGCATCTGTCCCTTTGTTGGCTTAGTCCACTCAGTTCGCCCCTGTTGTAGCAGGTGGCAGAAGTGCCTTCCCTTCCCAGGGTGTGTGGGCCACGTTGGCTCTGCCTGCCCATCAGCCGACGGAGGCTTGGCTTGCGTCTCTTCTGGCTGGGGCTTGTTTTCTGTTCTTGCGAACACAGACCCAGAGGCAGGCTGGTTGGTAACGCTGTAGGTAACTGCGTTCTGGATTTGAGGATGCACCATACCGCCCTGCACAGTGGCCGCGGTTTCAGTTCCCGCCAGCGTAGCCAGGAGCCTGGGGTTGGATCTGAGTCTGCAGCATAGGTGGCGGGGAGGAACCGAGTACTGGAGCCATCCACTGCTGCCTCCCACGGTGCAATTAGCAGGAAGCAGGGGCTGGAAAAAGAGCCGGGACTTCAAACTCAGGCAGTCTGATCAGGTTGTGGGTGTCCCAAGGGCAGCTTAACTGCTGTGCCCGGGGCCTGCCCCTCGTGCCTGCCCCTCTCCCAGAGTGTTCACACGTCTGCACTGCGCCCTCTGCCCAGGTGTCTGCAGTAGCAGCCCTTGGTGTGGAGCTGTTCTGGGCTATCTTCCGTCCCCTGCCCCTCCTGCCATGTCTTACATTCCTGTGCTGTCTGCTGCGCAAGCTTGTGTGTTGATGCAATGTCACACAAACAGGAAGACCGCTCTGAGGCAGCCTGCTGCGCCCTCAGCTGCTGTTACTGCTGGTGGTAATGTTTCCGTCACTCCTGAGAACGTTGGGTCCCGACTTCTAAATACCTTACTTCATATTTCTTGAGTCAAGAATACTCTTCCTTGCTCGCCATAACGTACTCATCAAAGGCAGGCAGTTAAAATGGGCATAAAGCTGTTTGTTTGTCCCTTCTGTGCATTTTACCAGTGGGTCCCGGGACATGACCCAGCATGGTGCATTGCCATTTGGTGTCCCGCCTCTCTGGTCTCCTTCCTCGTCTTGCCTGTGTGGAGCGCAGTGCTTGCCAAGTAAAGAGGGGAGATTTGCTGAGGTCCAGGGGCGGCAGCAGAGCCGGCCCGGGGCGCATGCTCATGCCCCGGTGCTCCAGGCTGCGGCCGACCTGCCCCAGCGCAGGGAAAGCCGAGGGGACAGGCCAGCTCCCTGGGGGCTCTGGGTTCTTTATGAAGAGCAGGGGGCTGTAGAAGCCACAGCCTCAGCTGAGACTGTGCTCCCAGGAGGCTGCTGGGGCGGCATGGCTCGCAGGTCCCTTCTGAAGGGCTGAGAGATGGAGACCCGTGTTCCCCTCAGCACACAGAGCCGTGTCACAGGGGCAAACACACAATTAGGAGCTTGGAATTCCCAGCCCCAGCCCGCACCCCGGGGACGGGAACCTCTGTCATTCTGTCAGTGTTTAGACATGCAGTGCACATGGACCGAGGCTGGGGGTTTGTGAGGTACACACCCAGGCGTCCCCCTCTTTCCCTGGGACAGCCTGCTGTCCCAGCACCTGTGCTTGAGTAAGCACCAGAAACTTCTCATCCTTGCAGGAAGCCCAGGGTGTCAGGGATGTGTATAGGTGAGACCAGATCACAGAGGGGAATCAAGATTTGAATCCAGATTAATTCAATTCCAGAGCCAGGCTTACCCCCTGACATGGACTCTCCGTTTTCCCATTTACAAGCCAAATGCTATAAAAACTGGCCATCGAGCCCTTCTAGAAGTGACACTGTGAGTCTGGGGTCTAGGCCAGGCAGTTCTCTCCACCAGGAGGCTGTGGGGCGTGGGCAAGGGCAGAATTTGCAGCACAGGGATAGGCCTAGGCCCCCGGCAGCAGGCCGTGCATTGTGGGCAGTGGGGGTGTGGGGTCATAGCACACACACACCCAGGCAGGTGCAGGCATGCACCCGTCCTCCCTCACCATCAGAGCAAGTCAGAAGATGGGCAGGCCCTGGCTGCTGGGGGGCTGCCTTCTTCCAGATCCCAAACTGAGGGGCCTGAGAACCAGGGAGCAGCTCTTCACTGGCGTGGGCTACAGCAGGGGAGGGATGAGGCCGAGCAGGGCACCCAGGGGAGGGCTGAGAGCTTCAGAGGAGGCCGGGGGCGGGGACTCACCCTGTGGTACCCCCAGGCCGGAGCCGCCCACAGTGGGCCTGGCCTGGACCCAGCCCCTTGCTGCCTTCCTGCTGCGGGCAGGCTCTCGGATTTGTCGTAAATTATGTGCACGTGAACATGGGGAGGACCATCTGAGCGGAGTGTCGGGCAAGGAAGAAGCCTCTGTCCCACGGCCCGTCCTGGGCACCAGCCGAGCGCCTCCGTGTCTGGTCCCCGCCATGAGTGCGCTCAGGGGCCGGTCTCCCCCACTGTGCTGGGTCCCTTCTCGGCAGTGACCATGAGAGGTGGGCTCACAACACCCTGATTTTTGGTCACCGTCCTAGCACAGCCTTCCTCTGATCTGCCGCTGCCCCCTAGGTGCCCTCCCATCCCACACTTCCCACTCCCGGCCTTCCACAGGGAGTGTCTTGGGCGCCTGGCCTGCCTCACAGCCAGAGGTGGGGCAGACAGTGGGCATCTGTCTTGACACTGCCTCCCAGAGGCCAAGTGCACAGCTCTCAGGGCACACCAGGGTCGGCCCTGGCAGCTTCCCTGGGAGTCGCCAGAGGGTGTTTCCAAGCCTCAGCCTGTGCCTGGAGAGGAGCCTGGGCTGTGCCCAGGGCGGTGGGGTCAGGGCCGAGAGAGGAGCCGGGGCTGGGCCCAGGCGGTAGGGTCAGGGCTGAGGAGTGGGGCTGGGCCCAGGGGCAGTGAGGCTGGAGGGGTCAGAAGAGCTGTGCTCCCTTGCTGACCTGGGGGCTCCTTGTGAATCCACAGGAGGTATTCCGGCAGCACCGGGGGCTGCAGCTCCTAGCCCTGGTGGAGGAGGTACTGCCACGCCACTCGGGGCACCACGGGGACTGGCACATCTCCCTGAGCAAGCCCAGCGAGAAGGAGCAGCACCTGCTGATGACGCTGGTGGGCGAGCAGGGTGAGCGGAGTTTGCGGGCCCACAAAGGCAGTGCCACACCAGAGTCCAGCTGCCCGTGGGCCACAGGAGGAAAGCCATGGACAGGGCCTTGGAACTGGGTCCCAAGGTGGCAGGACTCCCCGGGGCAGTGTTCAAGGCGCCCCCACAGCCTTGGGTTCTGAGGAGAGGGGGCAGGGGCCAAGAGGTGATTCCAGCATAGGTGGGGGGATGGACAGGCCCTGACCACGCCTGTCATACAGTGTCACACGGTGTCACCCAGTACTCCGAGGAAAGTGGATCCAGGCCAGTCTGGATCTGCGTAAATCAGAGCCAGAGAGCATGTGGAGAGGGGCTGGGCGGGGGGCTGTGGAGGGGCCTCAGCAGCCACAGCTGTACTGACATGGCGTCCCTTCCCCTCAGGGGTGGTGCCCACCCAGGACGTCCTCTCCATGCTGGGTGACATCCGCCGGAGCCTGGAGGAGGTAAGATCACAGGCACGTGGCCCCTGTGCGGCTGCCCCAGGCCCTCCATCCCTGGGCCTGGCGACCACATGGCCTCCCTGGGGCAGGGTGCTGAGAGGAGCAAGACGGGCTCCTGCCCTGGGCAAGCTCACTCCAGGCCTTTCTGAGACAGCTGCCAGGGCAGAGGGACCATGCGCCAGCCCCCCAGCCGTGGGGCCTGCAGGAGCCGTGAGCCCATGGGAGGGGCGGCCAGGCTCTGAGGGGGGCGTGAGGGTGCACTGCATGGACAGCAGAGACGCCGTGCGTGGGGTGGTACAATGGCTGCAGAGCACCCCAGGCATGAATTCTGGGGATGCCACCAGCCACACATCCCCAGAGATGTGCGGGAGGCTGGCTCATCCAGGATTCCTGGACTGAGGACAGCGGGCAGCCTCTTCCTGAGCTGGCACACAGGTTAGCAGGGGCAGGAAAGAGGCCCCTGGCTGCCTACTCAGCTGCTGCGCTTCCTGGAGGGGAGGGCCATTCTCACCGGGAGCAGCCACACCCCCCAGGACTCCCGTGACTTGCTATCTGTCCTCGCCACTCAGGATTTCCCAGCATTTGCCATGTACCACCTCCTTATCTGTCCCACCCAGGGGTCTGGCGGTTTCCGGGGGCACTGGAGTGTTTTTCATGGCTGTGTCTGATGCCTACAAATGCCAGACCCAATGCCGGGCTCTCCTGGTCCTTGCCGCCACCGCCCGAGGGTCTGAAGGTTAAAGCAGGCGCCCTCCCAGGTGCCACAGGCTTCCGCAGAGGTGGCCAGGGCAGAGGGTCTTGTCATGAAGAGATTTCACCCTTGAGATGGTCGTTGGAAGCAAGGTGGCAAGCAACAGGGCATGGTGTCCGTCAGGATGGATGGCATCAGAGTGCCCCATGTCCCAGGCTGGCTGAGCCAGGCTCAGAGGGCCACGGAGAGAAGTACCTGCCAGACCAGGCTCAGCAAGGAACCGGAGTAGAGTTGCTCAGGCCTTCGGGCCTTTCCGCCACTGTGCAGGCTGAGTTAGGTCAGTTGTTCCCAGAGCCTTCCTGTCCTCAGTCACCCGACTGGCCCACTGGCGCAGGGCAGAAGGAGTTCTCCTAAGTCTTTCCCTGTGGGGAAGGCTGGGGCCACCTGGGAAGTGGGCCCCGCGTTGTCACCCGAAAGCCGAGGCTGCTCCCCTGCAAGGGCACCCTGTTCCCACCTTCCTTCCTGATATTGGGGTTCATCAAAGCCCAGTGAGGCAAGGTGACCTGCCCAAGCCACAGAGCTCCTAGGTGGTGGAGCTGACGTGAGAGCCTTCGCCAGGGGGTCACGAGGGGTGGCGGCACTGTTGGCAGTATCCAGGCCGGCCTTGCCCTCTGTCCCCAGGCTTGCCTCCCAGGGCATTCAGGTCAGTCTGGCCTGGTTAAAGGCAGCCTGGTCCCTTGGAAGCACGCTGTGGGATGAGTCTAGCAGGGAAAGCGGACATCCGATAAAGCACTGGGCCAAGTTCTGGCAGTGTGCAGATGTTTGACAGAAACTATAGCAAAGCAGCAGACCAGGCCCAGGAAAAGGGCTGTGGGTGCAGCCGGGCCCCCGTGTCAGGAGCCATCCGGGGCCTGTCACTTCGACCTCCTGGGCTCCCTTCCTGCGGCCCATGCGTGTGGAGGGCAAGCTGGGCCGGGCACACCTGTGGTGTGTGTGTGGGGGCTGAGGCAGGGGGTGCCCACCCTGTGGAGGCCAGCTAGCTCGTGAACTGGGGTGCACACGGCCCTCCGCAGTGTTCCTGTGCTGACGTGGCCAGCACCCCCAAGGTGCTGACGTGCTGTGTCAGCTGCAACTGCCGTGTGAGGTGGAGGGTGTGGGGAGGGCAGGCTTGGGGCTGTCCTAGGTGATCAGGATGGACATGGGGTGGACAGTGCGCTCTGCTCAGCAGAGACACCTGGCAGTACCAGCCCGTGCCCGTGGCTCCTGAGAAACGCAGCCTCTCCCACCCACAGATTGGCATCCAGAACTATTCCACCACGAGCAGCTGCCAGGCGCGTGCCAGCCAGGTGCCCAGCGACTACGGGACGCTCTTTGTGGTGCTTGTGGTCATTGGTGCTGTCTGCCTCCTCATCATTGTGCTGGGCCTGCTCTACAATTGCTGGCAGCGCCGCCTGCCAAAGCTAAAGCACGTGGTGAGCAGCCAGCCGGAGCCTGGGGGTGGGGGGCAAGGTGCCCAGCCATGCCGGGCTTCAGTCCTGATCCCCAGGTGGGCCGGCAGTGACTGTCCTGGTTGCCTAGGCCAGGTCCCAGCCAGCCAGGGGAGGCAGGACTGTAGGCCTGGGAACAGCCCCTGGGTCGGGTGGTGCCCAGGGGTGTCTGCAGCCTGGAGGCCTCCCCAGGGGAGGGGGCAGTGCCCGGGGCGGACTCCCCCCCCCCCCCCAGCCGCATGCTGTCTCAGTGGCAGCTTTGTAAGGGGCCGCTTGAAGCAAGCAGGTGATAGGGGAGGGTCTGCCAGGGGTTGTTAGGTGTTGTTATTTTGAGGAGCTGAGACCCCGAGGGCCTTGTCCTCTGCGGAGGAGGGTGCGCTGGGAGCCGCCTGCCCGCGCCCCACACCCAGCAGCCTCTCGCCCCGCCGCAGTCGCACGGCGAGGAGCTTCGTTTCGTGGAGAGCGGCTGCCACGACAACCCCACGCTGGACGTGGCCAGCGACAGCCAGTCGGAGATGCAGGAGAAGCAGCCCAGCCTGAACGGGGGCGCCGCCGTCAATGGCCCGGGCAGCTGGAGCGCGCTCATGGGGGGCAAGCGGGACCCCGAGGACTCGGACGTGTTCGAGGAGGACACGCACCTGTGAGCTTGGCCGAGGCCCAGGCGGAGCTGACCGGAGGCTCCCTGCGCACCGGGCCACGGGCTCGTGCCCATGGGGCTGCGCCGGGGCCCCGAGGGCGGACTCCAAAGTGGACAGCATGGAGCCCGTAGTGGCCCCGCGTCCCCAGCCGCTCCGGACGGCAATCCCGGCAGCCTCGCTCCTGGCACAGCTCCCTCTCCCCATCTCCCTCCTGAACTCTGGCCCCGCGGGCAGGCGGGCGACGAGCCCTGCGCTCCCCGCGCTCCCCGCGCCCCGGGACGCCATTAAAGCCGCCCGGAGACCCAGCCGGGGCCAGCCCGTCCGCCTGCCCGACTCGTTATTGCTTCCGGGGTGGGGGCTGCCGGCGGGGCGGGCGGCGGGCGGTCCTCCGGGCAGCAGGCGCCGCTGCCGAGCAGGCGAGCGGGGCGGGGCAGCAGTGTTTACATCCGGCCGGGGCGCGCAGCGTCGCCGCCGCCGGAGGTCTCGGAGAGGGTCCGAGCCTCCTGCGCCATGGACACCAGCGACCTGTTCGCCAGCTGCAGGAAGGGGGATGTGGGCCGAGTGCGGTGAGAACCCCGCTGTCCCGGGGAGGGGCGGGGGGTGGACCCCCGCTGGAGCGGGAGCCAGCGTGCTGGGGGGCAGCTTACCCCCAGAGGAGGGCACTGCTCCTCGCAGAGGCCGAAGAAACGGGCAGGGACAGGCGGGCTGCCCTAGCCATGCTGGACCCCGGGGCAGGCCTAGGATGGCCCAGGTTGTTCCTTTACCGGGCGCTGGGATCACCTGTAGTCCAGAGGTTCGGGAACTCCTCGTGCCCCCGGAGGACTTTGGCATGGAAGCTCCGTCTCCGAGGGCCAGATGGGGGCACAGGGGTGACCTCGTGGGAGGTGGGTGGGGTGCCTCTTTCTTGCCCTTCCTTTCTCCACTGTCTGCCTCTTCACTTTCCTCTGATGTTCCCTGATCCTGAGCTCCCACCAGCCTCCCACCAGCCCTCTGCTCTGGACCAGGTCTTGCCCCAGGAAGCCCCTCTGGGCTGCTGTTTAGTGTCTGGAATCCATAGGGGGTTGGCGAGAACCCCCACCCTCACCCCCAGCTAGATTGGCACCCCCATCCCAAGTGCAACCTGGAACCTGCCCCCTCACCTGCCCTCTCTGCTGTCCCTCACGCCACCTGTGTCTGCCCTCTGCTCTGTCCCCCTTCCCACGCTCTCCTCGGCCCAAGATGCACCTGGAGCAGCTTCCCTCTGGGCTCCCTCCAGAAGGGCCGCTTCCTCACCACAGCCGAGTGTCCAGCTCCTGAGTCCATCCCCACACTGTCCTTCCCCACTCCCCTCCATCCCCAGCCCTGATCCAGGCTCTGACCTCCTCTCTGCCCAGGTACCTGCTGGAACAGCGAGACGTGGAGGTGAACGTGCGAGACAAGTGGGACAGCACCCCCCTGTGAGTACCTGGCAGGTGGGTGACTGGGCGACTGGGGACCCTTCCTTGCTGATGACTGCCTCCTTGCCCTGCAACCCCCAGGTACTACGCCTGCCTGTGTGGGCATGAGGAGCTGGTGCTCTACCTCCTGGCCAACGGTGAGAAGGGCTCGGGTGTGACTGTGGGTTTGTGGGTGTGGGCGTGCAAGGCCACGGGCTCTCCTACCTAGCTTGCAACTTGCAACCTGCTAGCATTCTGACACGGGGCTGTCTCCTCCTACACTGGGACCGCTGGCCGTGGCCTGCCGGCTTCCCCCTTCCTGCGCCACCTGCAGTCCTTTCTTAGTATTACAGCTTAGTGTGATCTCTACACATTCAATCTCATTATTGCTTAAGAAATCTTATCACTTAGGATAAAGGTGGAGCCCTTAGGATAAAGGTGGAGCCCTTAGGGCGGGACTCTTCCCATGCTGCCCTGAGTCCAGCCACACCTGCCTCTGCCTGCCCTGGGCTGTGCAGGGAGGTACACCTAGGGGTGTCTGCTGCTCCCACTGCTGTCCTCCACCCCGTCTTTGCAGTGCCCACAGCCTCACTTCCGTTGGGTCTCCACACTTGGTCACCACCAGTGACCTGCTGTGATGCCCCCCCATGATGTGACAGCCACCACTGTCACCTTCACCAGCGTGGCTTTCCTTAGAAGCCTTCCCATCCCTTGCTGACTTGCTCAGCACCCTCTAAGGCCAGCAAAGGAAAGGGCAGCTTTCAGAACAACAGTGGCCGTGCCAGGGGACCTAGGCCAGTCGGAGCTACTGGCTGACGTCTGCGTGGTCTGTGGTGTGTGCCGTGTGCTTGTACATACGTGAGGGTGTGGCAGCACCCCTGGGTGCCTAGGCCACAGGGGGCCCAGGGGAGAGGAATGGGGAGGTGGCTAGGGTCTCCCCAGCCACAGCTCTGCCCTGGGCCCTGCTGACTGCCAGGGTCTGCCACCGCCTGCCACCCCCAGGGGCCCGCTGCGAAGCCAACACCTTCGATGGAGAGCGCTGCCTCTATGGGGCGCTGAGTGACGCCATCCGCCGGGCCCTGCGCGATTACAAGCAGGTCACAGCCTCCTGCAGGCGGCGTGATTACTACGATGACTTTCTACAGCGGTGAGTGGGCAGGGGCCGCAGCCTGAGCGGGGTGGACTGCACTGACCCAGGGGCTGTGGTTGCTACTGACCCAGGGGCTGTGGTTGCTACTGCCCCCCTCCAACCCACAGGCTCCTGGAGCAGGGCTTGCATAGCGACGTGGTCTTCGTCGTGCACGGGAAGTCCTTCCGGGTACATCGCTGCATCCTGGGGGCCCGCAGTGCCTACTTCGCCAACATGCTGGACACCAAGTGGAAGGGCAAGAGTGTTGTGGTCCTCAGGCACCCGCTGGTGAGCTCCCCAGGGTGGCAGAGGGCTGGGCGGACTGCCCGGGGCAGCAGGGGCCTCGTGCTGGACGGCTGCTTCTGACCTGCCCTTCCGGCTATCTGCCCACAGATCAACCCCGTGGCATTTGGGGCCCTGCTGCAGTACCTGTACACAGGTGAGCCGGGAGCCGAGGTGGGCAGCAGGCCAGCGCTGGAGGCATGGCCCTGAGCTGACCTGTTGCAGCTGAGTGGGGGGACCCTGGGTTCCCACATAGAAACCTGTGTGTCCATGGTGACTGCCAGGGGCCCCTCATGCCCCGATCCCCCCCACTCTCCCCAGGCCGCCTGGACATCGGGGTGGAGCATGTCAGCGACTGTGAGCGCCTGGCCAAGCAGTGCCAGCTGTGGGACCTGCTCAGTGACCTGGAGGCCAAGTGTGAGAAGGTGTCCGAGTTCGGTGGGTTCAGGGTCTGGGGGCCCCAGGGCCTCGGGGTGGGAAGCAGCACGGCCGGCCCGGCTCCTGCAGCTGCCACCCTCTCCACAGTGGCGTCCAAGCCAGGCACGTGCGTGAAGGTACTGACCATCGAGCCACCCCCAGCAGACCCCCGGCTGCGGGAGGACTTGGCGCTGCTGGCCGACTGTGCCCTGCCCCCAGAGCTGAGGGTGAGTGTGGGGCTGTGCGGGCTGGGGGTGCTGGGAGTGCACCCCTCGGTCCTGACCATGCCCTCTGCCCCACATTCAGGGTGACCTCGGGGAGCTGCCCTTCCCCTGCCCCGACAGCTTCAGCAGCTGCCCGGATGTGTGTTTCCGCGTGGCTGACTGCAACTTCCTCTGCCACAAGGTACCTAGCCCCTTCTGTCGCCCCGGCCCTGCCCCTGCCCCTGCCCCGAGCCCTTCACAATCCCCAGCCTCTCCCAGGCCTTCTTCTGTGGCCGCAGCGACTACTTCCGGGCCCTGCTGGACGACCACTTCCGTGAGAATGAGGAGCCAGCGGCCCCCGGGAGCCCCCCTGTCATCACCCTGCACGGCCTCTCGCCCGACACCTTCATCCACGTGCTCTACTATGTATACAGCGACCACACGGAGGTGCGTCCCCCGCGGGCAGCAGGGTTTTGGTTTTGAAAGTTTATTTACTTGAAAGGCAGAGTTACAGAGAGAGAGAGATCTTCTGGCTCCAGGTTCACTCAAGTAGCCACAACAGGTAGGGCTGGGCCAGGCAGAAGCTGGGAGCTTCATCTGGGACTCCAGCTGGGTGCTCAAGGGTCCAAGGGCTCGGGCCAGCCACTGCACGCTGCATTAGCAGGGACTCGGTCCAGCACCTGCCCTGGGGAGTGTGTGTGAGAGGAGCTGGGAGCCGCTTTGGACTTTGAGGCAGAAGAGGCCTTGGGAGGACCCAGAGCAGGCCAGAGCAGGCCTCACTTAGAGCACACGAGCCTGAGGGCTTGGTCAGCCAGGGCCACCTGCATCACTGCGGAATCCCAGGCCCGGAGGGGAGCAAGTTGGGGGGGTAGAGGACACTGCCCCCCTGCTAGGCCAGAGCCCACAGCTGGGGCTCAGCACGGACAGGTGCCTGGGGTGGGTGGCAGTGCAGGGACCCTTGGCTCTCCCATCCCCCTGCTGCCCTGGGCCGAGGCCACAAACCTTTCCTTTGCAGGTATGATAGGCCCTGGCAGTGGCTTGGGGTGGGGCCATATGCCAGTAAATCCTTGCTTAAGAGGCCTGGCTGGAGTTGCCCAACCCTGCCCCGGGCACTGTCCTTGTGGGGAGATTGGGTCAGAGGCAAGCTCAGGCCCCAGGAGGAAGAACAGGGCTCTGGGAGACATAGCAGCCCCCCTCCAGGGCACTCAGTGTGGGCTCCTCCCTGGGCGTTCAGGCCCTGGCACTCTCCCAGCAGCCTTCAGGGAAGCTATGCTAACCTGCACATCAGACAGGACATTGGGACCCAGAATCCCCCAGCCAGACATATCAGATCTTAGGTCTGTGGGTGCTGCTGCAAGGCCTCCCCTTCTCCCTGTGGGAATCTGGGCTGGACACCAGGGGCCTGGCCAGGAGCTGCCACAGCCAGGTAGGTCCCAGCTGTGTCCCTCCTGTCCCCACAGCTGCCCCCTGAGGTGGCCTATGACGTGCTCAACATGGCCGACATGTACCTGCTGCCCGGCCTGAAGAGGCTCTGTGGCCGTAGCCTGGCTCAGCTGCTGGACGAAGACAGCGTGGTGGGCGTGTGGCGCGTGGCCAAGCTTTTTCGCCTGGCACGGCTCGAGGACCAGTGCACAGAGTACATGGCCAAGGTCATCGAGAAGGTGAGCTGGCAGCACCGTGGCACATGGGAGAAGAGTGAGGGGGGCGGTGCATGGCCCATGCTGAGCTGACCTGTTCCCTTCTTGCAGTTGGTGGAGCGGGAGGACTTCGTGGAGGCAGTGAGGGAGGAGGCGGCCGCTGTTGCTGCTCGCCAGGAGACAGACTCCATCCCGCTGGTGGATGACATCCGCTTTCACGTGGCCAGCACGGTGCAGACCTACAGTGCCATTGAGGAGGCGCAGCAGCGGCTGCGGGCGCTCGAGGACCTGCTTGTGTCCATCGGCCTGGACTGCTGAGCTGCTGCCCTGGGCCAAGCACGCGTGTGTGTGATATGTGCAGCTGCACCTTGCACAGTGGGGAAGGGGGCTTCCCACGAGCCTGGGGACTGCGGGGCGGCCCTCCTTGGGGTGAGCCCCCTCCCCCAATGCACCAGTCCCCGAGACCCTGGGGCTGAGCACCACTCAGGGAAACCGGGGTGGGGGCGGGCAGTAGTCCGTCCCTCCCACTCCGTCTGGCCCCGCTTGCTTGCTAAGCTGGCTGCCCATGTGTGCAGGGCCAGGCGGGGAGAGCCTGCGTGTGGCAATAAAGCCTGAACTCATTGTGGCTGAGGTCTGCCGCCAGCTTGTAGTGCCCCTTGCTGGGGCACCTCCCTCTCCCCAGCCTGTGGGACCTTGATGGCCACAAGACCCAGGCAGCAGCGACTCAGAGCACGCCCTGCCCTGGCAGATGCTCAGCAGACAGAGCAGGCACGTAAGGAGAACGTTGCTGCTCTGACTAAGCCCTAACAGCCCAGCCGCTCCAGCTCAAGGCAAGGCAAGGTCCCCGGCTCAGGTATTGGAGTGGCACCTGTCCTGCGGTCCTTGCTCTTGGTGGGATGTGTTCCTTTTGGCCTTGTTCTCTGATCTTCCTCTCTGATCCCTCAGAACCGTGTTTCCATCCTTGCTGGAGCCTGTGGGTTGGCCTGTGGCCACCGCTGTCCTAGCCCCGTGCAGGGCTCTGGCGAGGGCAGGAGCCTTCCTCTGACAACAGTCTCCTGCTCGTGGTGGCAGGCAGGGGCTCCAGGTCTTCAGGTGGTACTGCTCCCCATGGCTCTGGCCTCACGGGTCACAGGTGCTTATCTGACAGTTATAAGGCCCAGTGCGCAGAGCTAGGTGAGGGGAAATGGGGCAGTTGGAGGCAATGCCTTTCCCTGGTGGGGGTGACCCAGACCTTGCCTCCCCTGGCCCTCACCACACCTTGCCAAGCCTGCCTCTCATGCAGCTGCTGCCCGTTTTTCTTTCTGTGTTCCTAGGGCCCCACCACCCCATGGCTGTTGCCATGCACCGTGCACTCCCCCCTCCTGGCCGCCCCATCTGCCACCCCTCTTGCCCTTACCTGTGGCCCTGCAGGCTGGTTCTGGGTGAGCAGGGGTGCTGGGGGCCACCTGGCAGGTCCTGCTTCATCCCTCCTGCATTCCCTCACCCCTCATTTCCTTACTGCCTCAGTCACTCCTCCCCTGCCCCTTTGAACACATTTCAGAGACCCTCTAGAAGAGTGAGGCCCAGGAAGGTTAGACTTTCCTGCTGCCTTGGGGACAAGCAGAACGTCCATATGTCTGACGGCAGAGAAGGGAGGGGGCACGTACCCGAGGGCACCATGTGGACACGGGAGGGGTGGGGGTGAGGGCGGGGAGGCCACAGGGCGACGGGATGTGGGAGGGCTCCGACACGAGGACACGCGCGGACTCACGTTTCAGCAGCCCCGGCACTGGCCGCCATGTACAGCAGGTTCAGGGAGGCCGTGGCCACTGCGTCTACAGAAGGGATGGGACCCAGGACCCTGCAGGCAGAGGTGCCAGGGCAGACATCCGGGATGGCCTCAGACAGCAGGTAGGCCGGGGTTACAGCACCAAGGCAGAGCCGACTCGAGGTTGGGAGCTGAGCTTGTCTGGGGAGGAGTCCAGCGTCCAGGTGGGTGTGGCTGGGCAGGTCCAGGCCATGCAGCAGCCTGGTGGACGAGTGGAAGTGAATCTGCACAAGTAAACCCAGTCACAGGGCGCCAGTATAGATGGGAGAAAATAGAGCGTTGGGGTGCAGCGGTTGAGCCTCTGCTTGGAGTAGGTCCATCTCCAAGTGCCTGGTTCAAGTCTGCCGTGCTTTGGCTCCAGCTTTCTGCTGCTGTGCCCCCGGGGGGCAGCAGGCAAGGGCTCCAGTGTGAGAGAGACCCAGATGGAGTTCTGGCCTTCAGCTTGGTCCAGCTCTGGTTGTTGCAGACATTTGGAGGAATGAACAGCAAATGGAAGATTTCTCTGTGTTGCTCTGCCTTTCAAATAAATAACAAACAAAAGCAAATCCCACCCGTGACAGTTCAGGCCTGGACGGGCAGCTCGCAGGCAGGCAGAAGCCAGGATGGGCTCAGCTTCGACACGGGGCTGCCCCAAGAGTACGGGCGCTGCGGGTCAAGGAATGAGGTTGCCTAGGTACCAAGGCCCTGGGGCAGAGAGAGGAGGGACAGACGCCCACAGAGAACATCTGGTTTATTAGGATTAGCTGTAGTGTACATGGTCCTTGAACAGCTGAAGCTGCTAACGCGGCCCCCGCTAAGGTGTACACAGAGGCAGGACGGCACTGCAGGGACAGACTGCTGGACAGCTTGGGAAAGCGCTGTGATCCTAACAGGTTCACGCCGGCGAGCGGCAGGACAGAGGAGGTGTGTGGAGTCGGCAGGGGTGGCCGAGGCCCACAGGTGCACAGTAACCCCTTCCAACCCCCCCCACTAGCTCCAGGAGGAAGGGCAGGCTGTTTGCTGCTGGGAGGGAGGGGGGCTGCCACCTGCTCAGCCCACCTTTGCGGGGACGTGGGTGGGGTTGAGCCCCCAACTCACTGCACGTGGCATCTTTCCCAGACCTTCAGGCGTGAAAGCCACTCCTGGTTGCTGAGTGTCACCTTGGAGCTGCCGGGGAAGGGGCTGCCTAGCATCACTTCCTGGACCCAGTGTCCCAGGCAGGCAGGGACAGGACCTGCTGCACGCCCTGGGTCCTCTCCCTGGTCATTTCTGCCAAGCCCTGTCTCCTGACTCTCCAGCACCCCAGCCTCTCTGCACTGGCCCCCACGGCTTCCTCAGGACGGGGTGAGGGGCACAGCTTGGAGTGGCCCTGCCTGGGACCTCTGTCCCCACTCCCAGTTGTCAGGACGTGGGGACCTGGAGTGGCCTACACTGTCCAAGCTGGGGGTTGAAGGCATGGGCTCCTGCTTGTCCTTAGCCAAGAGTGGCAGGCATAGCCGCATGGTGGGGTGGACTCCACACGCCAGTTACAGCTCTCCAGGGAAGCCAGAGGTACAGGGGGGCTAGCAAGCTGCTCTCTGTGGACCCCTGGGTTCTATTGGCACCTGCAGCCACTCCGGAGGGGGCAAGGGAACACAGACCTAAGGCCTCCAGCAAGGTGACCAGCTCTTGGCCATGCTGTGGTTTGGGCAGGGGAACCCAGAACCAGTCCCTAGGGTCTGGGAGGGTCCAAGCACCCCACCCTCAGCTGAACCTCCACGGCGCTGGGCTCCCCCAGACTGCTTTAGCGTCTGTGGGGTTCAGCCACCCCCCAGCCAGGGCCACCCGTGCACTCTCGAGGCTCCTGAGGTTAAAGCAAGGCCCCTTGAAGGTGGAAGTGCTGTGTGCGCTTGGCTGAGGTCCCCGTTTATTGCTGCCGCCCTGTGAGGCCCAGGGCGTGGAGGGCACCTGAGTAGAGCAGGTCAGGCTTGGGGCCTTGTCTGGGAAATGCCTGCCGTGACCATGGGTGAGGACCCGTGGGCACATCCTGCTGGGGCACCTCGGGTCCCTGAGGACCCGTGGGCACATCCTGCTGGGGCACCTCGGGTCCCTGCTCTGGGTCAGAGTGCTCCATGCTGCCTGCCAGGAGGCCTGAAGGGCCACTGTGGTGGGCAAGTCCCTCCTCCTGCCACCAGGGGGAGCTGTGCTGCCAGCACCGAGGCTGCCACTGCTCTCACTTGCCTCCAGGTCAGAGGGGCACCGCAGGGCTGTCCCACTTTGGAGGGGGGCTTCCGACAGCTCCTGGAGCTCAGGTTCCACCCGTCCTCCCAGCTCCCGTTACCCCACAAATCCCTGCTTCCAAGGCAGCATTCTGTGTTAAACACAGCCCGGGGTGGGTTAAACAACCCCAGCTCTGTTTGTGGCAACATGCAGCGCCCAGTGGGAGAGCCAGGCTCCCTCCCACTTCCCCTTCTGGACTCAGCCTCACCCCCGGCCCCCAGAGGTGGGCTGCACTGAAGACCCCGGGCCCATTTCCAGCATTGTGGCCTCAGGGGTCATACAAGTCTGGGGGAGCTGGCCCCAGTGGAAACCCGGTCACATGGCCGGCTGCAGGAAGGCCACAGAGCCAGGCCAGTCTCGGGACGTGGGGTGCACTGGGGTAGGAGCCTAGGGTGGGCAGGAGGAGGGCTCCTCAGTTACTGGATCAGTGTCCTGACCCAGGCGTCCCTGGAAGACACGGGTTGAGACTTGGCCTTGCCTTACCCATCAGGGCAGGTGACCCACAACTGGCACACTCTCCCCTTTTTTGCATAATGTGACTTCCCCTGAGGGGGGAACCAGTGGCTAATAGCTTTAGGGTCTGGAAACGTCTGATTAAAAAAAAAAATTTGTGCTAGGGGTTCCTCCAGTAGTGGTGGTTTTGCTGTGTTCTGTTTGTGTGTGTTGTCGCGCACAAGCCACATCTGAGAAGCCAGCTCTGCCCTCCCGCTGCCTGCCTCCCCAGCCCGTGAGCTGGTCACCTGTCCGGTGCGCTCAGGGCGGGCACCTGGCCCCTGCCGCAGCTGTCCTTTGGGAGATCCACGCGTTAATTTCGTGGAAGACAGAGTTGGTTACTTCAGGAAGCTCTTTGTGGAGAACGTGGTAGGCACCTTCGTAGATCTGCAATTATGGGAAGATAGAGGAGTCAGGCACTGCCTCCCATCAGAAGAAGGGGCAGGGTGGGGGGCACAGGCAGGGCCACAGTCCACAGGGTCCCCAGCCTGTCCCCAACACCCTGAGGACACAGCCAGCTCATGGTTCAAACGGACAATTTCCCAGCATATTCTTGAACTTGCCTTTGCACCGATGCCGAGGCAGACATGGGCCATTCCTGGCTTCTGTTTCTTAGCGGGAGGCCCCTTTCTTAGGCTCCCACAGGGGCCTCATCCCAAACCACGCTCCCGACCTCCGGCCCACGGAGTTCACCCATGACAGGGTCTCCGAGCACTGTTGCAAGCGACCCGCACAGCTCTCAGTGTCATTCCCAAGTGGCTGTCTCCCCGCTTCCCACTCCCCTCATTCCTCCCTGTCCACCACCCCCCTCCGTGTTTCTTCTCAGTGTGGGCACACACTGCCACCAGGGGCTCACCATGACTCTCCTCACCCTCGCTCCCCTGTAACCTCGCCCAGCCCTGAGGCTCTGGGACCTCCCTCAGCTGGGGACCGCCTCTGTGTGTGCCCACAGCAGATGTCTGCAGGGCATCCCACGCAGGGGCCCCTCGAAGGCCACCCTCGCTCTGTACGCCTGGCGTCCCGCCCAGGGGAGCCCCAGGCCTGGGCTCACCTTCCCTTGCTCTGACCTCGCTCCCTCTGGTCCTCCGTGGTCGCCATCCAGGCTGAGCCCACACTCTTGGCTCCTCACTTGGCCTCCTCCTCAGTCAGCCACTGAGCAAATGCTTTAAGGACACAGGCCACGACCCCCTGCTTCCCACTGTGCCAGCCTAACAGACTCCTCGGGCAAGAGAAGGGCACGCATGGTGTTCACGGCCAAGAACACCAGCATTGCCCCCTGGCTGCTTGCTGGCCTCTTCCTGTTCATCAGTGAGCAATGAGGACTGTGGCTTGTCCCAGAGAGCCCACCCGTCACTGGTGGGTACCCAGAAAGGGCTCTTCCCCCAGGTAAGGCTCCCAGTGCAAGATGTCCACTTCAGGGGGTGTGCCTCCCTGCCACCCACCTTGAGCGTCTTGTCCTGGCTCTTGGCCGACTCCATGAGCAGGTAGGCCCCCTTGCTGTCACACAGGCGGTCAGCTGAGCCCTGCAGCAGCAGGAACGGCAGGGTCAGCTTGGGCAGGGCCCGCTCCACCCGGGAGACGGCGTTGAGCAGCTGGATGCCGAAGCACACCTTGAGTCCCGCCCGGCAGATGAGCGGGTCTGCGTTATACAGGTCCACCTGGAGGGGAGGGGGTGACGTCAGTGCCTGGCCCTCAGGCTAGCAGTACGGTCAGTCCTTGGGGAACCCCAAGTTGCTGCTCTTGGTGTCTCCTTTGGGGCTGGGGCACTCTACCAGCATCCCGAGGACTGGAGGACAGAAGGACAGTCCCCGGTGGAGCCTCTGAGCATACTCGTTTCCTTCCAAACGATGCCCCATGTTGTACAGCAGCAGGCAGGTGTCAGGCCCGCAGGAGCCTGGGGAGGAGCACGCATAATTGTGTTTTTGTGTCTTGCCCAGATGTTTTCAGCCACAGCTGTCTGACTCCAGGGACAGGGACTCTCAGGGTACAAAAAAAAAGATCCAAGTGCTTGGGTTTCTGCTACCCTCATGGAGGCCCAGAGGGAGTTCCCGGGCTCCTGGCATACAGCTGTAAATAAATCACCAACATCCCACGGCCTCATTGCTAGGGCCCAGGAGGCTCTGGTGTTTGGTTTTGTTTGTATTCTCCCCAGCGTAACCCCCCCAAAAGCACCTGGGGAAGAAGGTGGTCAGGCCTGACAGTGACCATGGCTCAGCAGGGAGCTACCTGCCAGGCTTTGAGAGGAGGGCGGGCCAGGCCTGGCTGCAACGGGGCTCCAGGTGGCAGGAGGCTGCTGTCAGCAGGGCCCACTCCTGCCTTCCTTGGGGCCATGCTGGATCCGATCATCAATCATCACCCTCTCCATGGGTGAGGAGCAGGGAGGGCCTGGGGAAGGAAGGGAATTGGATGCTTCCAGGGCTGTAGGCACCCCACAGGGCCTCCCAGAGAACATTCCAGATCCATGCTGGCAAGAGATGGGCTGCCCTGAAGCCACCCCTGCCATCCCTGGATCTTTTCCCAGGGCTGGTGCCCAAGCACTGCCAACCAGAGCATTTGTGAAGGCCCCACGAGGCAGATTAGCCACTTCCTGCAGCTGAGCTGTTACAGACCCACGGGGCCAAACCATCTGCTCAGTGGCCTGGGGACATGACACCACCAGGGAGGTGTGTATGTTGTGCAAGGGGCTGGGCTGCGGGGCCCACCCAGGAGCCCTGAGCTGGGGTCAGTTGAGTCTACATGACAGCAGCATGATAGCACAGAGCCAGGTCTCCCTGAACAATAGAATAAGGATGGCCGATGACCTCGAACCCTTTCAACACGCTCCGCACTCTGCCTTTCCCACCACCCTAGCATCACTCCAGTGAGAAAGCTGAAACATGGCGAGGTTTGATAACCTGTCATCAGTTTCCCCAACTTTCTGTGCTCCCTGTAGAACCCTTGATGTTTATATGGGTACTCATAACTACTTAGAGTAAAAACTACACTTCCCAGACTCCCTTGTAGCTCTGTATGGTCATATGACCATGATCTGGCCAATAGGAATGGGGCATCAGGGCCTTGGGATCACTTTGAGTCAGGGTCTTTCCTGTGGTCACAGGGACAGGGAGGGGCATACCCAGAAGCAGTCAGCAACAAAATTATCATGCTAAGAAGTACCAGGCAGAGAATAAAGCCCTGTTCTCACCCGGGTTACTGGGCTACCGGGAACTCAGCCGGAGAGGCTGGCTGGTGCCGTGACCCATGCTGCTCTCCACACTGTCTCCCTGCCGGGCTCCCAGGAGACAGAGGCCCATGGGAGGGTGTGTCCTGTGAGCATCCCTCACCCGGCTGGCCCCAATGTCCCAGGCAGCCGGGCCACTTCCTGCTCCTGGCTTCCTTTTCCGAGCCTCCTGCACGTAGGTCCTGTTTACGCAGTAGCCTATTCAGGGGGCCTGGGGACAGAGCCAACAGATGTGTGGGGGAAAGAGCAGGTTCTCGTGACGCAGAACAGAGGGAGGTGAGGGTGGAGGGAGACCAGGACTGGGAAGGAAGGGACGGTCATGCGGGGAAAACATGGGCTCCAAGGATCTGTGCCCTCCCTCACCCCCTCATCCAGACCCTCTTGGTTACCCCTTCATCTATTCTGTTGAAAAGTCTGCTCCATGGGGCCAGTGCTGTGGATGCAGCAGATAAAGCTGTCACTTGCAGTGTAGGCATCCCATAAGAGCATTGGTTCAAGTCCTGGCTGTTCCACTTCTTCTTTTTTTAAAGATTTATTTTTATTGCAAAGTCAGATATACAGAGAGGAAGACCTTATTGTCCATTGATTCACTCCCCAAGCAGCCACAACAGCCAGAGCTGAGGCAAGCTGAAGCCAGGAGCCTGGAGCTTCTTCCAGGTCTCCCACATGGGTGCAGGGTCCCACTGCCTTGAGCTGTCCTTGACTGCTTTCCCAGGTCACAAGCAAGGAGCTGGATGGAAAGCAGGGTTGCCAGGATTAGAACTGGCGTCCATATGGGATCCTGGCATGTGCAAGGTGAGGATTTTAGCCACTAGGCTACCACATCAGCCCCTGTTCCACTTTTGATCCAGCTCCCTGGATAGCCTGGGAAGGCAGCAAAGGATTTCCCTCTTTGGGCCCCTCCCACTCTTGTGAGAGACCCAGAAGCAGCTCTGGGATCCTGGCTTGCACCTGGGGACCACCCCTCCTGCAGTCTCTCACGTCTGTCTTCCTGCCCGCTCTTTCCCTCCAACGGAAGCCTCATCTCCCACCCGTGCTGTGGAGCCCATCCTGGGATCCCCACCACATCCCTCCCTGCTTAGGACTCTCAACCCACCTGTTTCCATCATAGGTAAACCAGATGGCCTTCTCCATCAGACTGGAGAGTGAACACGACTTGACCCCTGTGACACCTGTGAAATCTAGACTCCTGTGGGCACGCTGCAATAAACTTCAGAAACAACCTTTTCTTCTTTCCCCTCCACTTTGGGAAAAGCAGGAGATTCCCCCTTTGGCATGCTGGCTGCCATCTCCCATCCCCAAAGTTCCAAGGAATGCTGTGTGCTTTTCCATTCTGTTTGGACTTGACCCTGCCGGAGCAGCCCTCCCTGGACACCTCGCACCTCTCCCCACCCTTCTGCACCTTGGCTCAGACTGGTCCTCACGGCTGTGTGCATGCACTCTCTCAAGCCCGTCCCTGGCAGGGATGGTTCTCCAGAGGCCGTGAGCAAGCCGTGGACAAGCTGACCCTCCATTAACCCAGCCCAGGCAGCAGCACAGAGCACAGACCCCGGTCCACCGAGGCCAGTGACTCTGCTCCCATCACACTGCTGAGAGCTGGGGCAACCACCCACGGTCTAGGGGACACATCCTCAGACTTCCTGTCCATCAGTGTCCACGTGTGCCAGGCACCTAAGTGGACTCCCAGAGGGCCCTCGGAGTAAGGAGACTGTGTGTGGTGTTTTCCCCACCACACGAGGGACAGAGGGGCAAGCTGTGGGCTTTTCAGATGCAGCAGTGCACACCCAGGGAGACAGCGACTATGGCTCAAGGACTTGGGTCTCTGGCACCTGCTGCCTTGCATTCCTCCCAGCAACGGGGACATCAGGGTAACTCTCTGGGTGCATCCCAGCCTCCAGGGTAGAGTCTGGCCAGCACGGGAGCCCCAGGCAAGCTGGGTGCTCCCTGCAGGGCACTGGGCGGTGGGGGGGTAAGAGGTGAGATAGGAGTCCCCTAACTCAGCAGGCCTCCCCATCTCTGAGGGCCAAAGCAAGCCCCACTGACCAGGAGGCCCTGCTGTGACCACACTTGCCTGTGTCTGCCACAGCGGGCCCCTGGTGGAGCTGCACAGGACCAGATGTGGCTACATATCCTCCTGTGTGGCCGCAGTGGTCCATGCTAGCAACAAAGGGAAAGGGGCCGAGTCAGCCTGCAGATTGGAGTCCACACCATGCAAGTGGGGCAAAAGGTCAACCTCGCGCACTCCTCTGCTGTGGACAGCCCTGGAGTGTGTGACACTGGACACAGATGGAACTTGTGAGTGGCCACCAAGGGAAGGGAAGAGCGACACCACCTGCTGCCCTTGCTCACGGGCCCAGGGTGGGAGGAAAGAAGGAAGAAGGAGCTTCCAAGGACCACATCCACAACAGCTTGGTCACAAGCAGCAAAGCCACGTGGCCTCCAGTCCCCAAATCAAACGCCGGTCTGGAGCAGGAACTATGGAGAATGTGGGTGGCTGCGGGCCAGTGTTCCTATTCTGGGACCTTCCTTACAGGAAGCATGAACTCTGGTACTCAGGGCCACGTGCCTGCCACTTCCTGCAAACGTCCCTACAACGGACACCAGAACCGTGTGACATGGCAAGTTAAAGATCCAGCTGGGACGTCCGCATCCCAAATGGAAGTGCGGATTCCAGCCCCAGCTGCTCCACTGCTGGCTTCCTGCTGGCGCCCCTAGGAGGACAGCGGGTGACAGCTCACGTCCTTGGGGTCCTGCCACCCACGTGGGAGATATGTGACAGAGTTCCTTGCCTTTTGGCTTGGGCCTGGCCACTGCTGTGGGAATTCGGCAGCGGGGTGGGGGTGGGTTGTGGTGAACCAGCAGGTGGAAGATCTCTCTCTTCACAATAAAGAACTCCTATGACTCAACAACAACAAAACAAGTAATCTCATTGAAAACTGAGCAAAGGACTGAACAGACATTTCCCTAAGGACCTTGGAGGCCAACGAGTGCATGAAAAGCTGCCCAGATCACCAATCACCAGGGCACACGGGTCAGGGCCCCAGGGAGACACCACGTGATGCCAGCCGCATAGCGACCACTGACAGCAGTGCAAGGCTGTGGAGAAGCCGGAGCCCGGTGAGTGGCCGAGGGGCACACAGAACGGACAGCCACCAGGCACAACAGTGTGGGGAAGCCACAACAAACACTAGCACGATGCGGCAATCCCACTTCCGGAAGCACGCTGCAAAGCACGGAGAGCAGGGTCTCCCAGAGGCTCCCGCACCCCAGCACCCCATCTGGGTGCATCTCCTCTCTCCCGCCACGTGCCGCAGAGGTGCAGTCGCCCGTCTTGGGTTTGCAGGCAGCTGGGACGACCCTGACGCCTGACTTTTCTGCTGATACTGAAGCGGGCGGCTTCTGGGACCTGCCCCTTCGTGTGCTCTGAGATGCCCCTCCCCAAGCCGGTGATGGCAGGAGCCAGAAGCAGCGAGACCAATCCGTGCACCCCTGTGGCGGCCCCTTGCAGGTATTCCCACAGCCACCGCCACTGCTGTTGACACTGTTTATTCCAGCACCGCTGGCCTGTCAGCTGTCTCAAATACACAAGGATTTTGTTGCAAATGTTAAGAGATGAGCGATACAGTCAGAGTTGAGTCTGCTAACCAAATCGGCTTAGTGGAAATCTAATAAAGCTCTCAGAGGGGACTTGTGTGGGAGGCTGCATCCCGGGGATGAAGCAAGGCGGGGTGAAGCCCGTCTTCAGCCACACCAACCACTGAAGACCTAGTGGAGGCATAGCCTCCCAGGCCTCCATCAGCAGGTGGGGTAATGGAGTGTGGGGCTGAGAGGAGACTCTGAAACACTGGTGGGGGCTGGGGCGGGGGAGGGAGAGCAGAGCCCAGCTCCGGAAGAAAGCCTGGAACTCGCCATGCAGTCTGTGTGCCTGGCTCAGATACATCTGGATGGCACCCCCGGGCAGGTGTAGAGCCGAGACTGAGCACTAAAGAACAAAGAGCCAGTGCTCCGAGAGCCATCACAGCATCCCCTCTTCCCTGCTCCCTCCAGGGAAAGGTCGGAGCTGGGAAACGGGGCCAGGCATGTGTTACAGGGTGGCTGCCGGCATTCAGGCATGGGGTCTCAGCAATCCCTCCATCCTGGTCCCCTACCCTCCACCCGCCCCCGACCTTGGCCTTCCAGAGTGGGAGAAACCCAGCACACTCTGAAACACTGACAGCTGGGGGTGGAACAGGCACCCCTGCCAAGGTTAGAGAGGGCTGGGCTCCAGTCCTACTGGGCAGCTGTGTGTCTGAGGGTAAGAGACAGCCTCTCTGGGCCCAAGCTTCTACTGACGCCCAGGGTTAAGGTTTGATCAGAGGATACAGGGGCAGCACGGGGAAACAGACTTCCAGAACCTTCCCCAGGGCCCTCTCGTCTGGCCAGTTCTGCTGTGGGCAGCTGCTCATCCTGATTTTCCAGGGAAGTTTTGACAGCTGCAGGGCCCTGTGGGAAACCTCCTGGCTGCAGACGCCCTGGAGTCAGGGCCGGGAGCTGCTCCCTTGGCACTGCTATTTTTACAAGCTCAGCCAGACAGTCAAAGGAAGCTCTGAGGAGAAGCCAGGGGCTGCCTTCCCCTGCCGAGGGTAGAAACTGCCCTCACTTTCCCAGGGGAATCCTGCCACCCCCCTCCTGGTGTCTTCCCTGTGGGGGCACTGATTGAGGTATCTGAACCATCACAGCACCTGCCAGCTGGCTGGAAACTTTGGTTTTCATGGGGTGAACTGCTAACAGCATGGATGGGAGCAGGCTGCAGCTGTGGGAGGAACTGGGAGGTGGAGGCGCCGTGCATGTAGCCACACCAGGCGCTCCCTCAGGTTGTGGCACAGTGGGTTAAGGGACCACCTGGGGTGCTGGCATTCCCACACCTAAGGCCTGGTTCTAATGCCATCCAGTCTCCTGCTTATACACCTGGAAAAGCAGTAGGTGATGGCCTAAGCGCTTAGTACCCTCCCAGCCACAGGGAGACCCAAAGGGAGTTCCTGGCTCCTGGCTTTGGCTGCTGCAGCCATGTGGGGTGTAAAGCAGTGCATGGAAGACCCAACCTTTCTCTCCCCATCCCCTCTGGCTTTCTGCAGGCCAAGAGATCTCAGTGGCGCCCCTTGGAGACTTGGGTGGGGCGGGGGTAGGTCCTAGGTCTCCCACATAACAAGGTTAGAGACCTCTCCTCTGACTTGGGTTTCTGTCATTGGCAACCACAGGGGACTGGGTGGACGCAGACAATGATGCGGACGCACACACTCTCACTCAGCGGCAGCGATTCCACGGTTCAGGCCCCACCCACACCTGCCCCATCCTTTGCCTTGCACCTGAAGCCCAGCGCGGTCTCTGCTTCCTTGGTGTCTCCCGCCCCTTCTCTCGGCCTCCGGCAAAGCACAGACGGACTCAAGCGACGCAGCCCTTACTGACCCGCCAGCCAAGGCATTCTCTCACCTCTGTCTTGTTCCGGGAGAGCACGCTGGAGTCGATGGGTCCCAGTGACAGGTTTGGTAGCACGAGGTTGAGCACTTTCGCAGCAAGGACCTGCCCAGGGAGGGAAGACAGGAGCTGTGAGTCCACAGCGGGGATTTCTTTGGGGTGAGGGTGGTTGGCAGAGCCGGGTCCCTCACCCCAGCCCCTAAGGATGCTCCCAGATCTGTCTCCCCGGGCTGGCCCGGCTCCCCCAGGCCTGGGCCAGCATGAGCACAGGACCTGCAGAGTGTTTCTCGCCTACTCTGGAGCCATAGCCGTCCTCCCTGCCAGCGCTCATTGGAAGGAGAAATTTCAAGAGACATGGAGGAGCTTCCTAAGCTTTTGGACACAAGAACTAAACCTAGCCTTAGCCCTGCCCCGGTCATAAACCTGACACTAACCAGAACCCCAACAATGGCCCTAGCACTAACCCTGGACATAACCTTACCCTAAACCTAACCCTGGGACCCTGAAAACATACCTTAGGGCAGGGTGCCCAGGGGTGGCTTGGAGGAAGAGTATGGGTTGCCTAGCAACAGGGAAGTGAGCAGCCCGATCCAACCCAGGAGAGCATGGGGCAGAGGTGAGGAGGCCTAGTTTGACACCCAGCTCTGCTGCCCAGAGAACTCTGCCCAGGGCTGACCTGTGTCCTCGGCTGCCAAGAAGGAGCCTGGTGCTTCCTGGAGGTGCCAGGGACTGTCCTTGATGTCCCCTTGCAGAGGCCCTGGCGCATAGGGGAGACTTGGGCTTGAATCTGGGCCTTCCTGCCTCTCCCCCCACCCCAGGCCTCCTTCTGGATCACAAGTTTCTTTCTCCCCTGCGGAGAAATCAAGAACCTGGCTCTCCCGGGAAAGCAGCTGTTTTCATTGCTGCAGGGTGTGAAGGCACTCAGGGAGGGAAGATGCTATCTTCGAAATCCAGTCGTGAAATTAGAGCCGGAATTAGAACTGTGTGAAGGTGGCCAGCAGGGGGCTCTTGGGCTGAGGCAGGGCACACGGTGTGGTACTTGGGGGCCTTGGACAGGCGCGGGGCACCGCTGCTCCCTGGAGCGGGCAGGGCTGTGCAAGGACATCATGACAGCCAAGGTGTCACCAGCAGCTAGAAACCGTCTAACTCCACCGTCATCTCCCAGGCCCACGGCTGTACACCCCTGGGTCTTTGCCCAATGTTACTTTCAGATGTAGATCAGGTGTCCGCACATGCCAACAACCAAGAGTTCCTCCAGGAACCCCAAAACTTCTAAGCCATCTGTGCTTTTCCAGAGGAGAAGACCAGATCCGTGCAGTGGGACAGTGACCCCATGGCCTTGGCTAGACTTCAGCTGCAAGCAGGGTGGGGTGGGGGCTTCCCAGCTGCTCACCCAGCCCTTTGGGAACAGTGACCCAAGTTTAAGGTTATCAGCAATTCACAGATATTCCAAAATTCCACAGCACTAACTTCTCAGTGGGTGACTCCTGTCATAGTTGCCACGGAGCTGAGCAGGTGCAGGGCCAGGGGCCGCCCCTGCCCCCACCCAACCCTCACGACCCTCTCAAGGACACGGCTCTTTGCTGCAACCCCGTGTGCTACCAGCCTCGAGCACTGCTCGCCAAGCAGGAGAGACTTACCTCTGTGTTCCCAGTGTGGCTGCCTCTCCACTCATGCCCCAGTGAGCCTGAGCCTCAGCTCCCAGGCCAAGGGCTCGGCGAGGTGCCGGATGGCTCAAGCCACCCTTGCTGTGCGGCCGCAGGGGCTGGACGAGGGGAAAGCCACCACCGGGAGAGAATCATGGGGAAACACCTGCTCTCCTCACACCAAGCAGGCAGACGATGTCCACAGCCAAAGGGATGCCTTTTAGAGTTTTGTGGGGAGGCGCCTCCTGGTTAGCACCCACTTTACAGGAGCAGCACACAGGGGTGGTTCGAGAGGGCACAGATCACAACCCACCCTCCTCAGCTGCCAATCATCTATCTGTCACCAAAAGCACAAGCAGGAGATGGGACAGGAGCAAGTGTCCCCTGGCCATGCTCCTTCGGAGAGCTGCCTGTGGGCCTCCGGAAGAGCTGGCGCTGGCAGGTTCAGGATGGGTGGACACGCCCCCTTGGGATCAGCCAGTAACAACAGGAGCTCCAGTGGCCAACCTAGTGGATGAAGATGCTGGTGTCCTAGCAACAAGGCTGAGGGATCCTGGCTGTCCTGTACCTGCGTCTCCCTAGGAGTTCCCTAGCAGCTACAGAACGCAGCCAGAATATGAACACTGTGGGGAGGGGGCACCCATGTGTCTGCAGGGCAGGCTGCCCCCCCAGTTTCCAGCACTCTGGAACAGCTCTGAGCTCCAGCTCCTTCTCTAACCCTGCATGGTTTCCAAGCCACATCCACAGCAAAACTCAGCTGAGGCAAGGCCAAGTGCTTACTTAGCCTCTTCCCCACAAAGCCCCCTGTGTGAGAGAGGAGTGTCACCACCCCGAGGCAGGAGGCTTCCAGCAATCACCAGGCAGGCTCACTCCCTGCTCAGCTTCTAGTTATTCATTTTTAAAGATTTGTTGATTTCAGGAGCCTGGGATCACATGGGAGGAACAACACCCAACCAGAAGAAGGGGGCTGATTGTGGAAGAAGGGTTGAGCTAGGGCCCTACAGCCACATGGCGAGGAAGCGCTAGGAAGAAGAGGGTCTTGGCAGAACCCACACCCAAGCAGATCATTATTGAAGAGGTTGACCAGCTGGCTGCTGGCAGTCCCAGCTGTTCTCCACCATCAGTGGGGATAATCTGAAGGTCCAGTTCCAAGGGAAGACAAAGGACTCCTCAGAGGGGAGTTTGCTCACCCATAAAAGCAGTGGAGTCCAAACCATTATCAAGCGTGACGTCTTTTCCACCATACCCTTCACAATTTTCGGGTAATCCTGTGGGGGGCGTGGAGAGAACCTTGTGCCTGGCTTGGGAGTGGGGAGCACTGAACAGGACTCCCAGAGGCGGAACCTGGACACCCCAACAGGCGTGCCTCTCCACCCAGATCCCAAGTGTCACTGCCTGAGGACAGCTGAGAGCCAGAACCCGCACAAGTGGCCACTGGGCCACTGGCCCTCAGCTCTAGGGGTGGAGGGGAGAGTGGGCAGAAGATGGCATGGGGAGAGGGGTCAGACTCAGAGGCAGCAAATTTAGAGGTGGATACTGGGTGATAAGATCCTCAGTGGGACATTACAAGATCCACTTCTAAGAACAGCTCAGCCAGCAGACCCAACGCCTGCAGGGCTGGTCCTCAAGCCTCCTGCTGGCTTCCCATCTGGGGAGGTACCCATGGGCAAGCAGACGATGCAGGGGAGAGGCTGAGACCTGTGGCTTCCCAGCGAATGGTGCAGTGGCCACCGATGTCATAGCCAAGGCGCTGTGGTCCTGGATACCTGCAGGCGAACTGTGGGACGCCCACCAGTGTGAGTGCCGGAGTCATGCACAAACGCTGTCCTGGATCCACAAGGACCCAGCGGCTCCCGGCACTCCTGTTCAAGCCCCTGCCAGCGAGACAGACTGCAGGAAAAGTAATTACCTCAAGTGGCTCCAGCAAGCCGCCTCGTGCGTGAAGAGGCCTGGAGTCTACGCCTTTCATGGGGCCAGCTAGAACAAGGGTCACAGGCTGACCACATCCTCGCAGCAGCAAGTAACTCCCCCATGGGCTACACTTCCATGGGGGGAAAGGCTCCGTTTACCGACAGCAACACGTGCCTCTTCCAGGAAGCCTTGCTGTCCAGGACACAGCTCCTGCTCCCCTCCCCGATCTGGGTAGCAGGGGACTTGCTGGGACAATGCCTATTTCCTCCCATTGAGATTGTTGGGAGATCTGTGCCTGTGCCTGAGACAGGGCTCAGCTGGCGCCTGCAGCACGGAGGTGAACTCCCACCTGCTCCTGGCTGCAGCCAAGTGGGCCAGGGCAAGGCCAGGGTCGAGCTCCGGGCTTCCGGGTCTAAATTCCCTGGAGTCCCAGAGTGCTAATTCCCCATGCCCCACCTGCTCCCCTGCCAGCCCCTGCCCCAACTGCCCTGAGATTCTACAGTCCGCAAACAGACACATGTTACATCCAAGAGAAAGTGGGCCGCACGCATAGGAAGCTGACCTGAGGTTTCCAGAGGCTAGGGGACCAGGCCAAACAACAGGCTGAAGGTCCGGAGTGATGCGTCCATGCAAGCAAGTCCGGGTTCATTGCTGTCCCTTCCTGCAGGTCCCCAGCGGGGAGGAGGGCCCTGGTGCTGGAGGGTTGTGCCCGGCGATCAGCACCTCTGCAATCAGCCCCAACCCACAAAGCTCCGTCCTCCATACCAGGAGCTTGGAGACGGCGTCAGCTAGTGGGAACCGCTGCGGTCACTGCCTCTCTCCTGTGACACCTCTCGCAGCACCATGCTGGGGCCCCAGTCGCTGCCCTCAGGATCCCTGCTCAGTATCATCTCATCTTACGGAAGATGAACAGGGAGGTGATGGAGGATGCCACTGGTCTGTTCTGCTCCAGGGGCTGGGGTCGGTTACCTGTGCTTTCCTGTCTGTCCTCACATACTCAGCCTCTCCCAGTGCCTGCGCCTCTCCAACAGGCGATACTGCCCTTAGAGGGCCTTGGTGCCAGGGAGTAAATGCTGAATGGTTTGGCAAGCAGAGTCCTAGATGGGGCATCCCGAGGTTGGCACTTGGCTTTGCATCTGTTGCTGCTAATGGGGTGACTTGGGGAGGCCCCCAGTCAACCACATAGAGTTCTCACCCGGAATGCATGGGGAAAGAAGCAGATTCTGGAATCTTCCATCTTTGAGGGTCCCAAGAGCAAAGAGCAGGGAACAACCTGAGCTTCCATCAGCAGGAGCCTATGTCAACTTTCCTGGGGCAGACCCTGTCCGCGCCGGGAGACCCGTATGAAGTCCCGATGTGCAAGCAGAGCCCAGCTGGACTGCTAAACAAAATGACAGAGCAGAACCCAAGACTGGCAAAGACAAAGAACTGACTCAAAAAATGAGATCGAGTGACACTCCTAATATGCCAGGAGCTTCTTCTGGGTCTCCCATATGGGGGAGTGTAGGGAGCCAAGGTCTTGGGTCATTCTCTGCTGCTTTCCTAGGCCGTCAGCAGGGAGCTGGGTCAGAAGTGGAGCAGCTGGAACTTGAACAGGTGCCCAAGTGGGATGCCTGTGCCACAGGCAGGTGATTAGCCTACTGTACCACTGCATTGGTCCCAATGTATTGTTCTTAAAGCGGGACCAGTGTTGGGGTCCAGCTGGAGGGCAGCCAGTTGCAATGCCAGGATATCACACATTAGAGCTCCGATTTGACTCCTGTCTGCTTTACTTCCAATCCAGCTTCCTGCCAATGCACCTGGAAAGGCAGCAGATGACCTAAGCCCCTGGGTCTCTGCCACCCATATGGGAGACCTGAATGGAGCTCCAGGCTCTTGGCTCCAGCAGACCCAACCCTGGTACTGCAGCCATTGGCGAGTGAGCCAGCAGATGGAAGATCTCTCTCTGCATCACTCCCTCACAGATATATAATATGTATAAATATAAATATATATAATTTTTTTTAAAGATTTGCTCTTGATTTATTTGGAAGTCAGAGTGACAAAAAAGAGAGAGATCTTCCACTCACTGGTTCACTCACCAAACAGCCACAACAGCCAAGGCTAAAATCAGGAGCTTCACCCGGGTCTCCCACGTGGGTACAGGGGCCCAAGCACTTGGGCCATCCTTCACTGCTTTTCCCAGGTCATTCCCAGGCAGCTGGATCAGAAGAGCATGCAGCTGAGACACAGTTGGTGCCTGTATGGGATATTCACCCACCATGCCACAAGACTGGACCCAAAGAAGTCAATGTATAAACAATTTTTAATTACATTTTTAAAATGTAGCAGGACTCTCAGGATGCTGCTGAGATATCCAGAGGGTGTGAGGAAAGCACGAAGCTGTGTGGGGTGGGTAGACCTGTGCATCCCAGGCTCAGTGTGTGTGGGAGGGGCCGTCAGGGAGCTAATTTGTCTTAGTTAATAAGAGGAGACCTGGCTGTGTTACCCAGGGACAGCGGCCCCTGATGTGACAAGGAGATCTATTAGCCCCAGACTCCAAAAGGTCACTCCAGGTGGCCTTGCCCAGAAGTGCTGCCTCCTCCAGCCAGCCCAGGACTCCCTTGGGACTCCTGGAAGAAGCCTGCTGGCCCCACTCCCAACTCCAGCTGCCATGTCCCCATCCCTCTTTCCCCCTCTCTAGATCTAAAAAGCCCCAAGTCTAGCTTCTCTTTAAGGCAAAACATTTACATAAACATCAAACACCGCAGACAGGGTGTGCCAGCCCCAGCTTCAATCCCGTTGCACGGATTTTGTAATCCCAGCAAGTCACTCGGTCCCTTGCCTTTCCAAACCTCCGTCTCCCCAGCCACACAACTCTTGGCCGCGCTGGGCGTTTAGTCTTGTGGCCATAACGCTCACATCCCACACTGGAGGGCCTGGGCACCATGCCCCGCTCCAGTCCAGCTCCCTCCTAGTGCATACCCCTGGAGGCAGCAGTAATGGGCCCCTGCCACCCATGTAGGAGATCGAGACCAAATTCCTTCAGCTTTGACCATCCCAGCCTCTGCAGGCATTGGGGCAGTGAATCAGAGGACAAGCAAATGTGGGCTCTTCTCCCTCCTCCTTTCAAATCAACCAATTAAAAACCAATATAACAGGGGCTGGCACGGTGGTACAGCCAGCAGGTCCTTCATCTGCAGTACTGGCACTCAAACTACGGGTGCTAGTTTGAGTCCTGGCTGTTCCACTTCCGATCCAGCTCCCTGGATTGCAGGAACAGAAGAGGGCTCGAGCCCTGCATCTGACCTGGAGGACGTGCCTGTGTTTCAAATCGGCCCGGCACTGGCTGTTGCAGCCATCTGCGGAGTGAACCAGTGGATGGAAAATTCTCCCTCCCTCCCTCCCTCCCTTTCAATCTCTGTAGCTCCAACTTTCAAGTAAATTAATCTTGAAACACACATAAATCCATTTAAACACATATCCCCAAAATGACAATACTTCCCTTAAACACCTTTTCTTTGGCGGGAGAGGAGTAGATACGTAATCACAAAATATGCACGGGCCTTCCAGGTGCCCAGGGATTCCTTGGCACGTGGTGGGAACTCCTCCCTCTGTTCTCATTCTCAAATTCCTCAGGCTCATGTGGCATCATCACAGAACCGCCCAGCGGGCCACGCCTCCTCTCTCACAGTGAACCAAGGAGGAAGTGGCCCGGCCACATGACGCATGTGGTGTCTAAGGCCCCAAAATACCCCACCTGCTGACCAGCCCGGTGTCGGGACCTCCACACCCACAGCTCAGCTGTGATTCCCTCACACGCAGAGCCAGCACCAAGTCCGTGGCTGGGGCTGGAGGGAGCACGGTCAGGAGCACTCTGAGCCTCCTGGCACACTGTTCGTGCCCACATATTCCGTGCTCTACCGTTCGGGTCCTGGCGAGCACTGGTGGTGTGAGAGCCACATCGAAGTAGTCCTGCTGGCACCCAGGGGTTGCTGGCTGCCTAGCATTTCTGGCCCAGAACTGAACCACTCCCTTTGGAAGTCCTGAAAGGCACTGCTTGGGGCTGGGGTGAGATTGAGAATTCCCAAGGGAGAGCTGGGGTTGGGGGTTCCACATGCATCCTGAGCCCCAGACCCCCGAGGGCAGGTCTATGGGGACCCCACAGCCTCCACAAGGCAGTCCTGCCAGGCTGTGCCAGCTCCCTGTTCACTGCCTGTCCACAGGAGCCCACAGCTCTAGCACTGAAAGTGGGCGCTGCACCTGCCGAGTGTCACCCTCAGGCAAATGAAACGATGGGTCTGCTGGGGAGGGCCCGGTGAATCCAGTGCTGCGTGATGGCCAGAAAGCAACAGCAACTAACTGGCCCACAGCTCAGTCAGCAAGCCAACTTGACCCTGCTGGGCTCACAGCCCATGTAACCTTTTCTCTTTTAAAAGCCACCAAGAAACTATGCATAAACAGGAAGGCACTTTGCTCAAGTTTTAGAGTAATAAAGGGACAGACACCTGACTTCAGAAATCAGAGCCCCCAGCGCCAACAATGACTGGCATCCGTCCAGTGTCTATACAACCACACTTGAAGCCCTGGGCTGGGCCCCTCTGGTCCAGATGGCAGCTACAGGTGGGGGCTGGTCAGAGCTGGGCAGGCCCCCTTGAACTGTGGGAGCCCCCTTGAATGGCAGGAGCTGTGCAGGACCTCTTACCTTGAATGTTGTCGCTGACTCGGGGCTGGCGAGAACCAGAGGCGAGATCAAGACCATGCCAGCAAAGTGGCCTGGCCTCTCGGCGGCCGTCAGGATGGCAATGGCACCGCCCTGCAAGGCAAAGTGGGCGTGCCATGACCCGGCCACCTCGGCAGCCATCACATGTGGATACTGCGTTTTTTGGTGGCGGAGAGGAGTAGGGAACGGATCGCTGGTGCCTTTTTCCTGGTTTGGTCAAGGTCTCAGAAGTTTAAATTCCAGGGAAAACACTTGAGAATGAAAACAGAGGGAGGCGGGAGGCCTTGTCTGGCTCTCTCAGAGACTGATGCTCAGGGGGCCCAGGCAGGAGATGCAGGAACAGAGCCAGGCTGTGGCAAAGGAGCCCCCTCCGCTCCTACCCCCTGAGCTCTCTCCCAGGCAGTCCAGAGGCCCTGGGGCTGCCAGGGTGAGGACCCTGCACATCAAGGTCAGCCCTGGCTGATTCTCGGGCTCTACTTTGTGAAAAGGCGAGAAGGACTCTGGGCGACCTTAAAGGTGTCATCCAAAGGGAGCCCTTGTCCCTGAGTCACACCGCATGCTTCTGTCATGAGCATGTGGGGAGGGGGTGGAGCACCTCATGAGCCAGCTGGCGTGACACTTCCCGGAGGTGACACCTGAGCTTCTCTGAGCGACTGGCTGAACGGGCAGTGCTCAGGACTTTGAGTCCAGCCCTGCTGCCTAAGCCCTAAAATCTCCTGGGAACTGCAGGGTAGGTGCAGGTGCAGGGCCTGCTGAGGAGAGGGGGAGGCGGTGGAGCCAGTTGAGCAGGGAGCAGGTAAGTGGAGGAGGCAGGGCCATGCACTCTCCTCGCCCTACCCCACCATCGCCCTGCCTGGTTGGGTCCCAGGAAGTGACATCAGCTGGGTCTACTTACCATAGAGTGGCCCAGGAGGAAGACTGGGAGCCCGGGGTGGTCTTTCTGCAGGAGATCCACATGCTGGAGCACATCCCTGACAAAAACGTGGAAGTCGGACACCACCATCCTCTCCCCTTCGCTCTGTCCATGGCCCACTGGAAGGGAACAGAGACAAGGGAACCGCACAGTGAGTACGGACAGGGTCGCCCTCCAGGCCTCACCAGGTCCAGCGGCTCTCACGCAGCAGTGACAGCCGCTGTCTGCTGGGGACCTGACCACCAGCTCATCTGATCCCTTCCAACCAAGCATGCTCGTTGGGATTCCTCTCCCAACTCATGAGCCAAGAAACCAAGGCAGTGAGCGGTGAAGGAACTTGCCTAAGGTCACTTGGACAAGAACTGACACACCACCAAGTCCAGTCCCTTAGGGTTCCAGGGACGGGTGCACAGAGGGCTTAAGCTTGCCTGCTGATCCTCAGGTGGCCCCGAGGAGGAAGGAGATGAGTGAGCCCTGAGTTTGCCTGTGTCTCCCCAGATTCTGGACCCTCACAGCCACATTTTGGTATCAGCCTGCACCAGGGAACCTGCTGCATCCTGGCACCTCATTTCGCTGCTCTAGGTGATAATAATACGACAGATACAGCAGATCAAGCCAAGCATGGTTGCCAGAAATGTTCAATGTAGCAGGCATAAAACTGGGTCACATTCTGTTCCTGCTGAGTTTTTATGTCGGCATCTGAACTGCTCATTTCCGCTCTCCTCTCTGCTGAGGGTTCCTCACTCTTCCCTCTGCTGACCCACAGCAGTCGCTATAGAAACAGCTGGGCGGCTACAGATGAGACCAGCTAGGCGATCACAAAAAAAAACTGGCACCAAACAGCGAGAGGATGCACCCAGCCTTCCTTGCTGGGAGTCAGACTGTCACCCTGAGCCTCCTGTCTCCCTGATCATCTTACGGAGGCAAAGGGTGAGGCCAGCACGGTCTGGAACTGACTATTGCCCAGACCCCAGCTCAGAAACACTCCTGGCGGTCAGACCCTGGACTCTGGTCTGGCGTTCCCTAATGCCCGGCCTCTGGTCCCTCTGAGCATCTGGCTGGCGCCTTCCACCTGCAGCGGCAACACCCTTGTTTCTCTCACGTCTCCAAGGGATTCTGTGTGATACAACAGACTCAACAGGTCCATTTTCAATGTTCTCAATATTTGTTCATATATAAGAGAGCAAGTGAGGCAGCGAGCTCCCCTCTGCCCAGGCTGAAGCCCCCACTCTAGCACCTAGTAACATGGCCAGGGTAGGGGGCACAGGGAAGGAGGGACCCAAGTACTTGACCATCACCTGCTGCTTTCCAGGGTACACACAAGCAGGCAGCTGGGATGGGGACCTGAGCTGCCACATGACCCCAGCCACTTCACAAAGGGATGCCGAGTGTCCTAAATTGTGTCTTAGCTGCCAAGCCAAACTCTGCTCCCTACCCCCCTCAGCCCCGACTGACTTCATCTTGAGTGTCGAGCTGGGAGGCATTTTGTATGCCCATGGTGTCATGAGCCCTCCCTGCTGTCTGCTCAGGCTGATGCTGCATGGTGACAGCTCATCCTGCACCAGGTGCCCCCAAATCCAAGGCCCTTGGAATGCCACTGTACATGCAAACAGGCCCTCAGGGCCGCACCAATCCAAGCTGGACAGAGACCAGAGCGAAGGGCAGTTTGTGTATGAGGATACTGGGAGAGGATGACCACTGCATGTCCCTGAAGAACCTGGTCCCGCTACTCCCAGACTCTGGTCCTGCATCCAGGAGACACCACGCTTTAGCGGACTAAGCCACTTGGTCTATGGAGCTATTTCTAGCTGCCACAGCACAGTGATTAAACCCTCACTCCCCAGCCCCCACCTTCCATCTCTAGGAATCTGCTCTCCAGCGGGTGCAGTTGGCAGCATGCGGTGCCTAAGACTGGCAGATTCTTCCCAGTAGGACACCCTTGAGGTCCATCCCACCATCCCTGCCACAGCAGGTGTCAGGATGCAGCTCCAGGAATACATCACATCTCGTCTGTCCATCTCTCCAGGGCTGTCACTCTGCACCCACTTGGGGGTCTGTCTTTTATTCCTTAGGCTGAGCATCCAAAAGGAGATATTGGAGCCCACAGCAATCCCATGTTGGAATTTTTTTTCACATTTTATTATTATTGCTATCATTTTATGATACAGTTCCATATTCCCTTATCCCCTTCCCAATTCCCTCCCCCTCACCTAGTTCCTTTATATCATTACTAATATATAGTTCTTCATACTCAGTCATATGTCCATCTTTGCGGGCATGGACAATGGCAGAGAGTCCAGAATCCTATTGTCAAAATATAAATCAACAGTTTCACTGTAAGTCCATCTTTGTCTGGGAACAGAAATGCATACCACACTGCATCCTCACATCTGGATGTTAGTCTCCATTACATAACTACTGTACATTCCATGTTGGAATTTTAAATAAAAGATTTATTTTTTTTTATTGGAAAGGCAGATTTATAGAGAGAAGGAAAAACAAAGAAAGATATTCCATCTGCTGGTTCACTCCCCAAGTGGTCTCAACGGGGAGCCAATCTGAAGCCAGGAGCTTCTTCTGGATCTTCCACGTGGGTGCAGGCTCCCAAGGCTTTGGGCCATCCTCAACTGCTGTCCCAGGCCACCAGCAAGGAGCTGGATGCGAAGCAAGTTCTAATCCCGGCAGCCATATGGGATCCTGGTATGTGCAAGGTGAGGATTTTAGCTGCTAGGCTACCGCGCCAGCCTGTGGTTTTAACTATTATGTTTAAAAAGACAACTTATGCATGAGGTTCAGACATCAAAGCGTGTTAAAAGGGGGACACAGCTTTTTCCCATCACCATCTCCATCTACCCAACCCATCCATCTTCCCCTCTTCCCTTCAGATTTTAATTCTAAACAAGCAAAAACAGACATACAGTCTAGTCTGCTCCCCATCCCAACCTAAAACAGAGTCATAAAGTACTCAGAAAGATACTGCAAAATTGAATTAAAGAAGGATTTTTTTTGAAATTAAAAAAATTGAAATCCATGCATGTCAGGGAAGAGGTCTTAAAATCAGGGAAAGAAATGCATAGGTTTCAGATAACTTTATAAAAAATGCATCTCTGAAGTCCACTTTCCATGATCTCTCTCAAGTTCCCTGGCCCAGGACAGCCCGCTGGCACCAACTGCACACCTCAGTGCCCTGCGGCCTCTCAAACAGGGTGCCGCCTGGGTTTCTCCCCGTTTTTGACTTTGCGACTCTTCCAATGCGCAGCCACACAGCCCAGCATCCCGGTGGACACGCTGCCTGCTCTCCGCACCCGGCAGGGGCTGCCGCTCCCTCTGCTGTGCACAGCCACGTTCGTAAACGAAAACAGATCGTTCGAAAGGAAGCTGCATCAAGGGTATTTTACTTTTTTAGGGTTTAAAAAAATTTTTTTTGGAATGTCAGATAAACAGAAAAGAAGAGAGACAGGAAGATCTTCTGTCCATTGGTCCATGGACTGAACTTGTGAACTTCTCAGAGTCCCAGTTTCTGCTGGTGTGTGCCAGGGCGCTTCCAAACCAAGGCGCGGACGCTGGGGCTGCTCAATGCCACGGGCAACATCAGTTCTCCTCCCTTTCAGCCGAGTCGGAGATCTTCGGTTGTTTTCTTTTTTAGAAAGCTGGTCTCCATCACATTTCCAGTTAAAACAGCAAAGTTCTAAGGGTTTTTGCGGCAGGGGCTTGGTGCAATGGCTAAGATATGGAGTGGGACTCCTCCATTGCCTATCGGAGTGTCGGGCCTTGAGTCCCAGCTCCACTCCCAACTCATTTCCTGCTAGTATACATCCTAACAAAAATAGCTCAAGTACTTTACAAAAAACTTAATATCCTTTTTTTCTTCTTTGCTTTTATACTTTATCTTTTCTCAACACTGAAATTCTTGGTTCCTAATAGCACAAACATGTCTACTCGTCTATGGAACCCACACAACAGCATGGCTTCAAGCCCACAATACCACCGCAACCATTAACCACACACCTGCCCAGGGGAGACTAGGCCGTAGGTTCATTTGCATTTGTTTTTATCCCTAAAGTATAGCTCAGTAATGATAACGGTTAGGGTGCTGTGCCCGAGTAACAGGTTGTAATTATTTGCTCTGTATTCACATGTTACCAATTAGGTATACAATTGGATTCATCAATTTCAAGTTAACTGTATTCTGGATGATAAGTTTTGCCTTTTTGCTTTTCAATTTAATTTCCTCTTCCAAACATATCAACAGCGACTCGGTTCAGCAGTCAGAAACACAAGATTCACCCAGTGAAGTTTGACATCGACTCCTGCCTCCTCTCCCGCCACTCTGACCCTGCAGTTAATCATTTTAATTATTTCCTCAGTTTTCCTCTAAGCATTTCCTTTTCGTAAAAATAATAAAATTCCCTGTCTAGGTACGTGCCTGACTCCATTATCCAGCTCCCCTGCAACCCATTCCACCCTCCGTCACCTGCCCCCTTCTCTCTCTTACGACGTGGCCTGTCCAACACCTGTCATGTATCCTGAAGGTCACTTTGGGTCACAGGCCACAGAGCTCTTGTCCACTCTGTTTCCCGGCTGAGTGGACCACTTTCATGTGGGCAATCACTCATAGGAAAACCTCCACACTGGGTTGGGTCTCTTGTTGGTTACATAGGTGCCTATTGTGAGCAGCCCTTGGGAGGGGGGTGTCTTTCATTCTGGGGAGTAGGGTGGCAGTCTGGCTTCAGATTGACACCCTAGACACCCAACTGCTTGCTCCAATGACAAGGCACACAGGATAGTGAGGTGCCAGCAGCTCCGTAGCAGGAAGCAACCTCACCACCACCCAGCTCCAGCTATGGGCTCCTTGCTGAGTGCTCATTCTTTTATTATTATTATTTATTATTACTGGAAAGGCAGATTTACAGAGAGAAAGATCTTTCATCCGTGGACTCACTTCCCAAGTGACCACACGGCCAAAGCTGAGCTGATTTGAAGCTAAGAGCCGGAAGCTTCCTCCAGGTCTCCCACGTGGGTACAGGGTTCCAAGGTTTAGGCCATCCTCTACTGCTTTCCCAGGCCACAAACAGGGAAGTGAAACAGCTGGGACATGAACTGGTGCCCATATAAGATC